CTGCCGAGCCTGCGCCTCACGTCAGCCCTGCTGAGCCTGTGCTACACCTCAGCCCTGCAGAGCCTGCGCTTCACGTCAACCCTGCCGGGCCTGCGCTTCATGTCCCGTCTGCCCAGCCAAGCCCGGTGGTCCAAGAGAAACCGACGCCAGTGGTCTCAATTCCAGTGGTCCGGGAGGACCTGACGTCAGGGGTCTCAAGTTCGGGGGTCCGGGAGGACTCGACTTCGGGGGTCTTGGTTCCGGTGGTGGCCAAAGATGCGGCAGCACCTCCGCGACCATGTAAACGGCGGAGGAGGAGGAGAACTACCCTGGAACCTACCGTTCCCACCATCAGTCCTGCCATGGCCAAGAGAACAGTTCTTTCCTTCTATGCATTGGCCATGCTGCATGCATGGAAGAAGCACATGGTGTCAGCCGATCCTGAGACTGTTCACGTCACTTCTGCCGATCCAGAGACCGTTCACGTCATTTCTGCCGATCCAGAGACCGTTCACGTCACGTCTGCCGATCCAGAGACCGTTTACGTCACGTCTGCCGATCCAGAGACCGTTCACGTCACGTCTGCCGATCCAGAGACTGTTCACGTCACGTCTGCCGATCCAGAGACTGTTCACGTCCCTTCCATCGAGCCAGTGTCTCCGGACAAGATGGCCGCCACGCCTAAACCTGAGCCCTCAGCGGAGATGGCCGCCGCCACGCCTGAACCTGAGCCGGTGTCTGTTCCTGTGCCTGAGCCGGTGTCTGTTCCTGAGCCCGAGCCAGTGTCTGTTCCTAAGCCCGAGCCGGTCTCTGTTCCTGTTCCCGAGCCGGGGTCTGCTCCACCCTGGTGGTCTCCGCCATGGTCGCCCGAAGGTCCTGCTCTGCCCTGGTCACCTACACAGCCTGCGTCGTCTTGGTTGTCTCCACCATGGCCACCTGAAAGCTTGTTCCCACCATGGTCGCCCAAGTTGTCGTCATGGCCGCCCGAAGGATCTGCTCTGCCCTGGTCGCCTGCACAGTCTGTGTCGCCCTGGTCTTCTCCACCATGGCCACCCAATGGACTGACGTTTCTGCCCTGGCTGTCTGCACAGCCTGCTTCGCCCTGGGCACCCGAAGATAAGTCTCCACCCTGGCCGGCCGATGGACTGCCGTCTCCACCCTGGCCGCCCGATGAGTCGTCTGCCTAGCCCTGGCCGCCCGATGGACTTTCTGTTTTGCCCTGGCCGCCGGCTAAGCCGTCAACCCTGGTTCCTGTTCCCTTTCATGGACCTGAACGTCACTATTACTAATTATATCATGACCAAATACAACTAGAAACAAATGTTCAGTCTTGCTTGTGAAAGGTAATTCATCGAGACCTGTTTTCAATTGTGTGGCGATTTGTACAGCCCCAAGCAGCACACAAAACAGGAATTTTCTCAATTCCCGGTATGAGAGGTATGAGAAACTTTCACGCTGCAATATGGGGGCGCCGTTGACGTACGCTCCAGCGGCCAATAGGGCGTCTATGTATTTATTTTGTCTATGTAGAGCAGGGGTGTCCAAACTCGGTCCTGGATGGCCACTGTCCTAGCCTAGAAATCTAGACTCCCCCTAGCGGCTATAAAAATTATTTTGCAGCCAGTGTAGTCTAGCAACTCTCCTTTGACTTTCGAGCTGGAAAAACCAAACTCTAGTCAGGCCAATCATATCGTGTATAGAGTCGGCGGGCGGGTTTAACATAATGACGACAGAGATGCGATGGTTCACTGCTACTTGAAAACAAAGAATGGCTGCTGCTGCTGGCGAACAGCTGTCTTTCGATTCGGCTTTGGCCGCGACTCTGGATTATTTAACGTTAAGCTTTTCTTTGAAACATGAACAAAGAACGGCACTAGACTCACTTTTAATCGCTCTGACTATGTCATCTTCTTCATTGCTCTGGTTGGTTGTGGAGCTATCCTATTGCGTGCAGAGGGAATTTGAAAGACAACCGTTTATCCCGCCCCTCGTATTGAGCCCTGTCAATGGTGAGTTCCCAGACCTAACATTCTGATGTAGGTCTGGCATGCCAGGCTACCACTGTCCTGCAGAGTTTAGTTCCAACTTGCCTCAACACACCTGCTTGTAAGTTTTTAGCATGCCTAATGACCTTCAACAGCTAATCAAGACCTTGATTAGCTGTTTCAGGTGCGTTTAATTGGGGTTGGAGCTAGTGGCCCTCCAGGACCAAGTTTGGACACCCCTGGCATAGAGCATTGTTTGTGACTGTGAGATCGGGAATTTTATTTTGAAAGTGGACTAGCTGTATTGCGCCGGCGCCCTCACAGTTGCTGGGGATTATGTGCGACGCTGACACGTTTGTCTAAAGTCAGTGACGCGCTGCGCATGCTTGGCCATAATGTAGCGGGTGCACAACGCGCATATACTTTGATTCTCTCATCAACACAGATGCAGCAGTTTTTATTTTTGCAAATCATGCATTATAACAAGGAAAAATATTAACTCATGAGGGAAATCATTGTGGTGTCCATGAAGATGTAAAAAAATGTAGGCCTAAATCTAGCTTACACATTTACCCAATTTTTTCAGGCTAATTGTAGTAATGACGGATCAGACCTGTTTGCCCAATAGTGGCAAGACACATTTGTATATAAGGACATCTGACAAATTAGTTTGTCCGTCAAAAAAAAAAACTCCCATTCCCATACAACGTCACTTCTCTGTCTTTCACTGCCCTGACAAGAACGTCGGTCTCCTCGGCTGTGAACCGCTCCTGGCACGCGCCTGGTAAATCCGCCGTTATAATTGCAATCCGCCATGCAACATGCGCACCTGCGCTTAAAGGGTATGTTGGATGACGCTCTGATTGGTTTATTTCACGTTACGCCCAAACCACACCTATGAATAATGAAGCTATTTCAGACCAATCCCTTTTAAACGTGCGTCGGGCGCAAGAGTCATTTATCCCGCCGGTAAAATACCAACAGCACCCAAGACCCGCCCACAAAGTTACTTGCGCTTCGCGCTTGATACTTGCATTTCAGATCGCTAAAATAGGGCCCTATGTCTCCAAATACAAAGAACCAAAACCGTGTCATGTTAAGTATTTTTCACGTTTAAGCAAAACTCACACCGAAATTTTGATTGTCTTTTCTTCACTATAGTAATGTAGAGGGATGTGCCTGAAGCCGAATATGTTCGGAAATGAAATTGAGCATTCTACGGAGCCCCTAAAAGGACATGGTGATGGAAAAGATATGAGATGGGAGGAAAAAAATATATTTGCTTTTGCGTTCTCTTCCAATTATAAAGTTGGGTAATTATATTGATGTAATTTGCGGGCATCAGAGAGCTGTTATCAATGTGCCTATGTAGGGTATTTGAATTCGCTTTTGAATACATGCTCACATTTTACTTTCACTTTCCAATTTGCGATCACACACTCTGTGTATAGGGAGCCGCAGTACTGACTCAAAAAATCAAGTGACTCACAAGCTGATGATTACCACTTAGTTTTGCGCAGAGAGCGCTTTGACATGGCTTTGAATGTATTTTTGAATGTAAACAAACATACAAGCATACATGTAACAGTTTACATTAATTTTTATGATCAAAAGAGAGACATATGTTATATGTATCTACACAATCTACATAATCATGTTAGCAACAAAGAAATGCTTGATTGAGCAGTCAGTACTAATTTACACTTTCATTTTCAAGTACATTTTAATGTCACACATGTTCCATAAACAGTTCATGACTAAAGAAAATGAACTGTAATTATGTTTGTAAGCCAGGCTCAATCAATCCAATGGAGGCATCCGATCAGTGGGGAAGGTCTCTGCGTGTTACTGCGTGGCAAAGTAATTTGATTAAATGAAAAACATTTTCTCATGTATTTTCTCGTTATTTCATCTGACTCCATAAATGAAAAGGTTTTAATGATATCTGTGCATTATTTAATGTAAGCGAATGTTTGACTTCTGTTTTGAATTATTTTTGTCTCTTTACTGAAAATAATGTCGAGTCCATTAGAATAAAATCTAATGTTTACAATTTATTATGTCAGGTAAATGCATCATGCCAATTTCATAATCAATACAATAACATCAAATGAGTAAAAGATGTAGGTTAAACCCGACATTTAGAAAAATACATAATGCTGAAGCCATGAGGTCCTTTAACATTATGGGCTAATCTGAGGGACAAATCACCCCGAGCCTCTCGTTGCATTTCTTTATATAGACAGACCAAGGCAGAAACTCTTTTCAAATGTAAACATGAGTTTATGTCAAATGTAAACACAGTGGGAATTTACATTAATCACCGTCCCAAACTTACTGGAGGCAGAAGTTGATTTACATGGAAACATTTGCTAACAATGGGAATTTACATTGAGTTTACACCTTTGAGAACAGGAGGCCATTTGCCTGGAAGACCCATCCTCCTTTGTGTGCAATTTATCTTTATTACCTTTTGTTTGACTTTTTTGGAAATGAGACATTTGTACCAGTCGCACTGAGACATTTCAACCGATACCAAACATGTATAAAACTGTATGATAATTGTTCACATTTTAGATGAATTTCAGGTGATCTCAGCATGAGAGAGAGAGAGAGAGAGAGAGAGAGAGAGAGAGAGAGAGAGAGAGAGAGTGGGGGAAGAGGGGAAGAGATGTATTCTGAGGTGAGACTTTCGTCTCAAATGGTGAGTTCAAATGTTCATTTCCAGAAAGGTCCTTTGTCTTCTCAGGGTGTGGTCGTTCCTCAACCAGACTGTCCGGCATTTCCTAATTTCTCAAGTCTTACATGTTTATGTCATATGGCTGGAAAGAGTGGAAATAAATGGTTAAATACATGGTTGCATGTTTTGCCAAAGGTCAGCTATTTTTGTGAGGTTCATCTCCAAAATCTCATTGTATAAAGACAAGTTCATATTTTGCAATTTAAGAGAAATTTCCTTTTGTATCTTAATAATGAAATAACATTATCTATTAAATCCTTGTAGATAATATTTCAATAGGTTTTTACCATGACGTTTCAGCCACCTCCTGCTAAATGTATCTCTGTATTACAGCTGTTTTTCCTTTTGAGACCAAATGTAAAGTAGTATTTAAATAAAAATCTAAAGGCCTGGTCTCTCATGCCATATATTAGAGGGCTTAGACATCTTGGAAAAATCATAAACATTACAAAGCAAAAATACATCACATTCAATGAAGTTATATAGTCAGTATAAATATAAATGACTTCTTGGATAACTCCAACTAAGATGGATGCAGCACAGAGACCCAGCTGTATTAGATGCAACAGAACAGTCTTGTTGGCTTTTTTGGCAGACATTTTATCACAGGAGGCTGTTTTGGCCACAACAGCTATAGAGGCATAAGTAAAGATAATAACAAAAGTCACTAAGACAAAAAATATACATGTAAAAGCTATATCAAGTTTCTTATATATCTGCAGTCTGAAGAGAGTAGTTCTTGAGCAGAACAAATTCATTGCAATGTTTGTATCATTGGAATAAAATATAAAAATCTCAGACAGGGATTGCATCCAGCTTAACATCCAAATAACACCAATGGCCATGTTAGTTCTTCCGTAGGTGGTGATTTCTGCATGTCTGAGAGGGATACAGATGGCCACATATCTCTCCAGTGACATCAATGCCAGATTTAATGTAGAGACCTGATAGAGAGCTGTTGCAGCAACGAGAAGGATGAGGCAGGCAATTTTCATAACAAAAAGCCTACAAACAGCACACACAAACAACACTACACTCATTAGAAGATTGAGTGTATCCACCCAAAGCATGTGACCAAACAAAATGTAGCGAGATGTCTCCTGAAAAACAGTCTTTTTCCTCAAGGTGAAGATCATGACTCCATTGACATACAGGAAAATAACACTTGAGGACACAGACAAAAATGTTTTCAAATCTCGATCCACCAGTGATATAGTCTGAGTGATGTTAGATTTAGAATCATTAAAATTAGACATGTTCAGGAGCATAAAAAAGACAAAAAATGCTGTTATAAAACACTGAATAATAATGCGATCTATAAAGTCTTTGTAACTGTAAGTTAAGTAAGTAAAATGTATTTGTATAGCACTTTTCTCAGATGAAGATCACAAAGTGCTTCACAACAAAAGAAAGCATTAGCAGCTCTCATAAATACATCTCAGTCACAAAACAAAGTAAAATAAAATATAAGTAAAATAAGCAACACTCAAACACATACACAATAGACCGGCCTCAAACCATCCTCCAAACTAATCAAAAGCCTCTTTAAAAAAACTGCAAATCTCCAGGCTTGTGTCACCTATGTTGTTGAAGGTACAGAGAATGATCAGAGAGCATCACACTTTAAATATCAATGTAAGGCATCTGTCATGAACTCCGTATGGAATCCCAGTGGCTGGTTTGTGTGTCAAAATGACTGTGAAAAACAACAACAACAGTAACACTTGGTGTGTATTTCACCAATAAGTGCCTGACTAACAGCATCAAGTACAGCAAATCCCAGTGGTTTATGTTTCCTTGTGTGTTTGTGTGGAAATATGTCTTTAATTCTTGAAGCTATAAGATTATGTACTAACTCTTTTTAAAAACACAGTTAGGCAAAAGATTTCTCTGATCTCACAGTTGGGGAAAGCTAATTGTGTGGACAGATGGTCAGTTAATGAAATTAATATATTTAATATCTCCTTCAATTTGTGTATTAATGGAGTTTAAAGAGTTTTAATGGAGTGTTTAAATCATTATTCGTTACACAGCTCTCTGGGATACTTGGTCAATCATGGGATTCAGCGATTAGATATTGTCCATGCGAAGTAGTCTAAGTTTAGAGTGGTGAATGGCAGATCAGGGGTGTGTTTCCCAAAGCATGTTAGCCAACCATGGTCGCAAGTTCCCTTGTTATTATCAGCATAGTTCAACGAGTCGGTGTTTCCCGAAACCATAATTCTAACGAACATTCGCAAACAGCATCGCAAAGTTGTGTGGTTAACGACAGCTCTCGACCTGTGGTTAGAAGCTTTAGTTTCTTGTTTGTATTAAATGTGAATAAAGTTTTAATTTATTACATTAAATACTTATCATGAGCAAAATTTGCAAGCTTTCATTTACAAATTTCATTTACGTCTTTAAGTTTGTCAGTAGATTAAAAGCACAGTTTTTAAAGAGTGTGCATGTGCGTACATGCTCTAGTACGTAAGAACGAGCGTGTAAAAGTGCAAATATCCCGCCTTGTTTGGGCGGCAGTGGCTCAGTGGCTCAGTGGTTCATGTGGGTTGCGCCTAGACTGGGCGGCAGTGGCTCAGTGGTTCATGTGGGTTGTCTACAAACCGGAAGGTTGGTGGTTCAATCCCCGGTTCCACCTGACCAAGTGTCGAGGTGTCCATGAGCAAGACACCTAACCCCGGCTGCTCCCGACGAGCTGGATGGCGCCTTGCATGGCTGCCGTCGCCCGTCGGTGTGTGAATGGGTGAATGTGAGGCAAATGTAAAGCGCTTTGGTGGCCATTGGGTCTGTGAAAGCGCTATATAAATGCAGTCCTTTACCATTTGTTTGCAGAGGCTATTTACACTAACTCCGCCCACTGACGTCTGGCCAGACAAAATTACGGAAGATGATGAATTGTCGACAGTAGCGATAATGTTGGTGTAAGGCACTTGGCTGAAGGTTTCGATGCAAATCGACCCGAGTTCGAATCCGCCTTTTGCCGAACTCGCTCTACTCCCTTTTCCCATCACATATCAGATTGGAAAGGCATTTATTTTCAATAAAAACGAAGAAAATATTTGAAAATGTATGGAAATAAAGTGTCTAACGTGTGTTTAATAATAACGTTTTTATCAGTTAGGGTTAGGTGTAGGGAGGGCTTTATTGTCCGGTCTTTGTCAGGTGACGTCACACTCGTGATACACGAAGTGCATTATGGGGCGTAGCCGCCATTTGTAAGGTATCGATGCAGGGGTATTCTGTTGTTGGAGAATTGTGTTTTTCATTATTTTTTAAAACTAAACCATCCTTAACATGACATTATCATCATCATCAATACAGCAAACCTATCTTTGCTGTTACTACTGTGTCCTTCGGTGGGAATGTAAATAAATCCTGTACTCGGCCGTTGGTAAAATGTCCGTGGGTTTTAAGAGATTTATAGTTTTTAAATTGTTCACTGGTATATGCGCTTATACCATAAACAAGATAGTTGACAATGTCCCAGTATGAGGATGAGAAAGCAATGCGGGATCATCACTCCAATTTACTGCAGTCAGCTCATATATGGATCTATGTTCTGAATGGATGACAATTTCTCCAAATAACGGTACCTGCCATATTTATCGAGTTTATTGTGGTACGGCATTTCCACGGTTTTCTTGTGCTTCTCCAGTTTTGCGAGTTATTTACTTGTTATCTCTACTCTTGTAATCTCTTCAATGCTCACAGTCAGTAGCGATACCTCAAAAATGCCGCCTGCGGTGACGTCACACACAACAAACCCACGTGTCTAACAAAGACCGTAGGCGTCCATTTAATAAATTGAATAGATAGTAATCATTTACACTCTGTGTTATTATTGCATACAGTTTAATGTACAACAACACTGAGTCGTAAATAGCATCTGTCACTATTTATAAGTATAAATATCCTCCAATACTATTTACACTTATAGCAAAGGAAATAGGCCTACTGCTATTATTACATTGCATATATCGCTATTTTCACTTAGTGTGGCATATCGCTAAGAAAATGCTGCTGTTTTAACATAGTGTAAAGAGAATCTATTGCTATTTGCACTTAGTAATTTCAACATGGCGTGAACGCACATTAATTTACCATCTAGTGAAAATAACTTCAGAGGACTAAAGTACTGTATTAATATTACGTAAAATTGTTGCAGTGCTAGTTTTGTTGCTTGGCCGAATATTTTGTATATTTTTTAGATTCATATTGTTCATACAGTTAAAAGACAATGTAAAATAATATAATTTTGTGCTACTTCTTTACTTTCATATAAAAAAGAATCTCTAATTAATATCCAACTATTATAATTAGTAGTAGTAGAAGTAGAAGCAAAGTGTTGTCCCACCTGCTGTGTAAAAGAAAAAAGAATTATGTGTCTTATTTATTTTATTATGTGCATTAAAATAGGATATGTACTTACAGTGTTTATCTGAACCCTCATAATCAAATCATGTCAATCTTGAGGGTTACATCAGAATCTACTTGCACACAGTCCCTTGTGTTTCCATTATTAATCACATTAAATATTTAGTATATGTCTGTGTGTTTGTACAAAGAGGTCTCTGGGGGTATGAAATGTGGTGTTGATGTCTACCTGATGTGGTTACTTTGGGCCACAGGGAGAAGAAAACCTTATGTTTGGCACCTGATGTCCTCTAGATGTGTGCCCTTATTATTGAGTGTGCTATGTAAACATTAAAGTATAAAATAAACACAAAATCTTCAGGGGATATTCTAAGAAGTTGTCATGTAGTGACAGGCATGCTGATGAAACTTACTCTCCGTTTGTCTGAGAACATAAAAATGTAAAGAGCTAATTTCAAAGTTTCCATAAACATCCCTTACAGAAAAAACACATGAATTTCACATGTTATCACATGTTTTCCACATGTGCCCACATGTGACCACATGTGACCACATATGAACAACATGTCATCACATGTGAACAATGTTTCACCACATGTGAACAACATGTCACCACATGCAAGTAATGTTCGGCCACATGTGAACAACATGTCACCACATGTGAACTTAATGGAACACATGGCACATGTGGAAAACATGTTATAGGTAATGATGTGGAGCTCATGTGAAATATATTTGCACGTTGTAATAGGTTTTAACATGTGAATTATGTTACCACGTCACAAATATTGTACATTTTTTGCTTCAATAGCCTTATTCACACAAAATGCATAGAACATAAAGCTTATAATGCATGTGTAGGCCCACATTTGCCTACTAATGTGAAAATATATTCATGAAAATATTTTAATGATAATGAAGCGTATAGTTTTTAATCAAGTGAGTTTTTGCAATACTTTTTTCAACACTGTTTACCATTGCTAAAGCTATATTATAAATATATTTTACATAATCAACAGTATAATATTATATTTGATATAATCAATAGGCTACTGCTTTCATATTCTATTTACAAAGCACTTTCAGGACATCTTTATATATATATATATATATATATATATATATATATATATATATATATATATATATATATATATATATATAGCCTATATATATATGTGTGTGTGTGTGTGTGTGTGTGTACCTTGCATTGAAAGATAATCTGAAAGCACTATAAAGACTGGCTTTATATATATAGACCTTATTCGCAAACACCGGAAGTAGCTAACCGCGGCCATATTGTTGACATGACATCTGTCCTGCTGCCCCTAACCGCGCGCAGATTTGAGTTGAGGGGAGCAGTAGCCTGGCTTCATCTCGTCGGTATCAAGAGAAGATAATGCTATTATTTGATGTGGGTCCACACCAATCAAGCTTAAGTAAAGATCCGTCCTTATTGCCACTTTGCCAGCCGTAACTTATCCGGATATTTATAACGATCTCGTTCATACAGTATCCGTATACAAACTACAATGCACCTCAACACAAGGCAACATAATGAATGACACTCGTCTCATTCGTGGAGGTGGAAAAACAAGTTCTTTGTGACATGCAAGATTTGTTGTATTAAAATGTAAATGCAAAAGAAAAGGTATGAGAGTCGGTTGTTTTTGTCAATTTTAAGTTTTCATTTAAAATGTTTGCGATTTTAATATAAGTACATGGTTACATATTTGACCAATTGCTTGAGCAACTTAATATATAGAAGTAATGCATGGAATAATTGGCTTACGTTGTTGAAATAGCGAGTATGTGTTAAAATAAAAATAGTGAGTACCGGGGTGTTTGTGGTAACGTTACAGCCGCGGATCAGTTAGCTACGCACTGCAAACGCAGCATATAGCACTAAAGCACTGTAGCGCGTCCTGCTTCTGTCCCGTATACGCACCGCACACGCATTCCACACAGATTATGTGTGAAACCTGTGGTAAAAGGATGGGAACAGACTTTTCTGTGGTGAGTTGGCTGAAAGTTTAGCCTATTTATCCTAGCTAGCCTCTCCTGCGCTGGCTCAACTCTGTCTCCTTCCCTTCACGCTTTCTGACAGTCGATAACTTATCGAAATCATAAAAACTAACCCCGGGGTTCTTATTGCTGTTGTTAGAACAGACGTGTATTACACAACACACCATCACGCTGTTTAAAAAAAAAATACAGTGATAATACCATGGATAATACCGACGCTGCCTCGTTTGTCAATTGACAGACTGACAGTTGCCGTGATTTCTATGTCAACAATATGGCCGCCGCAAACATTGATGACGCAGATCGAATAACATCTATAGGCTATTTATATTAAAAATAAAATCAAAAGCAAAGTGATGGTATACAAAATATTGCAAGCACGTTTTCAAATAAAATAAAGTGTATATTAAACTTTTCATTTTAAGTGCTGCATGATTTTGACGTGGTTTAATCAATGCCGTGAGCGTGAACTTTCGAGTCTCAAGCGTCCGGCGCGCAGAGTTGCCATGGAAACGGCGCGGGACCACTGCTACTGGTAAGCAACAAAACTCCCTCTCTCGATGTTGTTTCAACTTTTCACGGCTTTTTCCAGGTGAGATTAGTCTCTAAAATCACACGAATAATACTCACAACTGTTTTTGACATTTCTCTTACTTGTAATTGACACAATTCTGTTAAAAATTTACTTTATAGACATGGTGTAGTGTCTTCGGAAAAAGTCCGTTAGGATCTCAACCGTTTTCAGAAGAGGTAACGTTAGCTAGGCTAACGTATCGTTAACTCGGTTGAACTTTTATTTATTAAAGTTTGGGCTTTTAATCACCTCTTATGTGTAGATGAGAGGTTTTGTAAAGGTTTTACTTGGAAGTGAGCTAATTTATTTAAAGGGTAACTAAACACTGAAACAACTTTTTTTAGTTAATGATCTGTAAGAATGGAGCTTCATAAATGCTGTTCTTTGATTCGAGTACATTTTTTGACATTTGGGTATAAAGTGTTTTAATTTTCAAATATATGGTGTAAAAACGTATGAGTGCTGCCCTCTTCAGGTTAAACGGAAAGCTCCTGCAGTAGGGGTACTCTCTGACGTAGGATACTCTCTGACGTAACTCTGTCACGCCCTTGGTGCGAGCTCACCACGCCCTTGGCAGCCCCAAGGGGGTAATCCATCGACCGGAAGTTGAAGCCGGCCGGGTGCCGCCATGTTGTAGCAGAACTTCACTTGCGTTAGCATTTCCATTGACTCCCAGTCATTTTGGCGTCACTTTGACAGCGAATAACTTTACATCTGAGGCGTTTAAAGACTCCATTTGTCCATTATTTATTTCTAAAGAAACACGACAATGTATAAAGGGCTCCATTACCTTCTATGTTACATTATGGCCCCGTAGAAACAGATTTAGTAAAAATAGGCTAACGATTGCGTCATAACCACTCGACTCTCTGTCGCGCTGTACAGAAATTACCGTACAGACAGGAGGAGAAGCTCGCAGGCAATCAGGGGGACGTCCCGTCAAGGGAGAAGCCCATAGATAATGAGTCCATAAAAGCAACGGAATACTTACTCCTGCTCACTCACGCCAAATAACTCTTTGCTCAAGTTCCCCGTCTCTGCAAGATTAACATTGGCAGTTTTCACGCACAGCTACTAGAAGATTAACGTCTGTCAGACAGGTTGCTCACGTCATCAAGCTTAGTTTGAGTCGGTCTGAGTCTGCGCGTCAGGAACGGAAGTTCTCAAAAATCGCTAAAAGTGGGCTTCAACTGTCTCAACTGAGTTCCAATGAGATCGCTCTGTCCATTTCTTTTACTGTCTATGGGCAGCCCCTGGTATAAAAACATCTGGTTCCGTCAAAACTACTGTAGCGAGTCAGGAGTTGGAATTACGAGTATTGAAAACGATCAGGATAGTTTTATATTTGAAAATCAACAAACAACAAATAAAACAAGCAGCTCTATGCACTTTTTAAGGCAAGATTCTATTCTCTGCCATTTCCTTCTGACCGTCGTCAATAGCAACGCATTATAAACACAGTGCAAATCCATGCATCACAACGGACGCGCTCTCTCGTTTCATTCAAATACAATTTGCCGTCTTGCGTCTCCGTTTTTGATTGTATTGAAAATAAAATCAGAGTTAATTTATTGTTTACAGAGTTTGATAATATTGTTGTGATCATCTTGTCTGGACGATTGTTTTGTACGCTGCACAAAATGGATTTATAAACAGGTAAGATTTAAAACATTAATGCGAACTTTTCTTCGTGGAAGCTTCACGTTTATTTCGAGTGAGATAAAATATTTCAACTCAAAACAACATTTTGAAGTGTATTGCAGCGACTTTTTTGTGCATGTTCTGCAGACAGGGTGACCATCATCGATTAAGTTTCCCCCAGGACTTTTGTAAAAGCCAAAATATGACCACACACCTCAGATTTGGCCCTCTTAAAAGGCAGAAAAATCAGATTAAGGTGGGGAAGAAAATACTTCAAATGACCGCTCTGTTGCAAAGCTACTTGCGTCACTCCAGTCGGTCTCCATTTTAGCGAGTTTGACAGCAGCTGTCAATCAATCCCTCACTGCGGTCTCAGTTCGTCCCCTCTATCTCCGCTGGGCTCTGCCCACTTTTCCAGCATTTTTCAAATATTGCCAGTGGGTGGAGTCAGGCTCTGACCAGGGGTTTAGTTACCCTTTAACACAAACGTAAACATAACGTATCGGTGATGTTACTTTCAGGAGCAAGAAAATAGGCTGAAACTAACGTTAGCTCAATGGTAACGTTAAACACATTTTGATTAAAAAATGTTCTGTGATTTCAGTAGTAACAAAATAACCCATAACAGAGAGAAAGCGCCTCCACGACTACAACATTTCTGAAGAAAGCTGCTGCCGGAAAAGTAACTTAACGTTACACAGGTGAGCCGAGGAAGCTCATTAAATAACCTCATTTTATTTCTCAATTAAAAAAAAAAAAAAAGTTTATTTTAAGAAGGTTTTGACATCCAAACGAAGTTACACCGTATGCGCAAAATTAAATGAATAAGTAAACCCAAAAACAAATTCTGTTATCCTAGTTAAGAAATTATATTCTGTATATTCTTTAAATTCTTTCTCTTTTCTGCATTTCACCTCTGCTGTAGCTTCTTTCCTTTCAATAAACCTGGCATTGCATTGTTGGCTCAGTGACAAATGGCTTGTTGTGTTCTTAGATCCTTCAGTGCTGATGCCCTGCAACATAGCGGAGTGGAGCTGATCTTCATCTCTAAAGCACTATTGATGAACCATATGATTAGTAAGTAAAACGCCAAACATACACTAATGTCAAACATACACTAATTGTCTTGGTACAAATGTTTATGTCTCTTTCTCTTATGTTCACCAAAAAACATTAAAAACAATAATATTGTGAAATAATATAAATAAATAAAAACTGTTTTCTATGTGAATATATTGTAAAATGCAATTACTTCCTGTGATCAAAGCTGAATTTTCAGCATCACAGCTTCACATCATCCTTCATAAATTATTCTAATATGACGATTTGATGCCCAAAAAACATTTATGATTATTATCAGTGTTGAAAACAGTTGTGCTGCTTCATATTTTTGTGTTTTTCAGGATTATTTGATGAATAGAAAGGTTAAAATAAACAGAAATCCGTACTCTCTCTTTTGGTCAATTTAATGCATCCTTGCTGAGTAAAAATATGAATTTCTTCTTTTTTTTTCTATTCATTTTTAAATCTATCATTGACCCCAAATGTTTGAACATTAGTGTAAACTACCCTTCATATGTTTGTGGTCTATTTAACAATGAATCCTGGAGGGGAAAAAATGGTTTAAACTGTTACAATGGTTTACACAAACACATTAATCAGCACAACTGTTTTCAACATTGATAATAATCAGAAATGTTTGGGATGTTTACATGGTAAGAATGTATAGTATTCAAATATAAAAAACACTGACTCGTTAGGTCATGTTTACTCATTAAAGTCAGATGATTTCCTATTAATTCAATAGAATATGGTGACTTCAATTTACATGACGTCATGAGCAATCAAGTCATTTATATAGATCAGTGAGTAGTGCCCAGCATATCTAAGTCCACTAAAGGAGATTTCTCGCATTTTACCCCTAAACTCTGGAATAACTATGAAGGTAAAAGAGTAACAAGACTCGAGCATGAACAATAAATACTTGTATGCTAAAATTTACACTCACAGCTCCAAAGTGAAAACCTCACCTAATACGCAATAACGTTGAAAAGATCACGGTTTCTGTCCTGACGAAAATGTTCTATTTTTTATTTTATTTTTTGCTTTGCAGAACAAGTCTGTGACTGACTTAATGAACCCAGTTGCTTTGGATCATGCTCAAAGATGTAAGGGTTACAAAAAGTTAACCAGAACTCTTATGGACTCCATCTTCTCTTTCGAAGAGATGGCAGCATGAACGGAAAAAAAGGGGTTGTTGGTGAAAAAAGAGCCTTGACCTACAAAAGGTGCAGCTAATAATTGGTAAGCATGTCTGAATATCTTTTATCAATAGTTATTATATATGACAAGCGCTGAGCGCGTCCGTCAGCGCCAGCCATAGCGCGGAAAGCACAGTTTGAATCTGACAGTTATGTCACTTCATGTCAAACTTGTTTTCAAATTTTAATGTAATCAATCTCATTTCTTACAGACCATGTCAAAAAGAGGCACCCAGGCATCGGAGGCACTGAGATCAAGGTCTGCATGGCACAAAAGTTAAAAGATCTGAGGAGACGAGCAGAAAGGTAATATTCAGACGATCCAACATCCAAGTGTGATCCCCATGTGGTCTGTTCACATTTGCGAAACCGACATGCGCGAGGACTGATGACTCAGTTTATTCCTCAGTCTACATTGTGATCTATTCACAAACTGTCAATAGTTTTTTTTATAAATGAGACGCACCACTCGTCTTATACAGTTGTTTAAGCAAGATGTATTTCCATAGCATATTTACGTAAAACGTTTAATGACATAATAACATTACAAATGAATAATAATTAATTATTAAGCCCCATCCACTTTAGGCTTCAAAAATGCTTTTCAGAAACCTACGGGGTGACGTCACGGACACTACGTCCATATTTTTTTTTACAGTCTATGGTTTGCACTGCCCTAATCTTTGATCTTTTTCTATCCCAAAACAGGATGCCTGCTGCAGGAGACACAAAGGACTGAGACAACACACTTTCACAAACGCACACCACACACACACACACACACATGCGCGTATACCTGCGTTTTTTGCGGCTTTTTATGTATAATTTTAATTTGGTTTTGCTTTGTTTGTTTTAAACATTCAATTTGTATTGCATATTTTGAAATGAAATAAAAAGTAAAAAAAAATAAAAAAATTTGAATTATTTGTTTTAATGTTGGGAAACATTAGGCTATAGAGCCTACACAAGAACCTGGTAGGCCTACCGTTTTCTGTGGTATATTGCTTAATGATTTTTACATGGATTTCACATGAAGTTACAGGTTTACATGGTGTGTAGCTTTAACATGGATTGTTGATGGGTTTCAAATGTCATTCCATGGGTTTCACATGAGATATTTTACATTTCACATGATATCTCATGGGTTTCACATGTGATTAAATGTTTCACATGGGAATTTTACGTTTCACATGTAAGCTCATGGATTTCACATGGGAATTTTACATTTCACATGCAATCCCATGGGTTTCACATGTAATCACATGGGTTTCACATGCAATCACATGGGTTTCACATGCAATCACATGGGTTTCACATGCAATCACATGGGTTTCACATGCAATCACATGGGTTTCACATGTAATCACATGGGTTTCACATGCAATCACATGGGTTTCACATGCAATCACATGGGTTTCACATGCAATCCCATGGGTTTCACATGTAATCACATGGGTTTCACATGCAATCACATGGGTTTCACATGCAAACACATGGGTTTCACATGCAATCACATGGGTTTCACATGTAATCACATGGGTTTCACATGCAATCCCATGGGTTTCACATGTAATCACATGGGTTTCACATGCAATCACATGGGTTTCACATGCAATCACATGGGTTTCACATGCAATCCCATGGGTTTCACATGTAATCACATGGGTTTCACATGTAATCACATGGGTTTCACATGCAATCCCATGGGTTTCACATGTAATCACATGGGTTTCACATGTAATCACATGGGTTTCACATCCCATGGGTTTCACATGTAATCACATGGGTTTCACATGCAATCCCATGGGTTTCACATGTAATCACATGGGTTTCACATGCAATCCCATGGGTTTCACATGGGAATATACATGGGTTTCACATGAAAATGTTCCAAAACCACACGTTTCCCATGTGCAAATTACCTTTAACATGTGCAAAGCACATGTGTTCCACATATTTCACATGTGCAAAATCACATGTCCACGTTGTCACATGGGATCACATGTGTTTTTGCACATGTGAAACTCATGTGGTTTTTCTGTAAGGGATAAATATGATATATCATGGTTAAAAGACTCAAATCATCCAGTCTTCTTCACAATTAAGAAATATTATACTAAAATAAATAAACAAAGAACATAGCATATGGATATAGCTCACTGATTCTTGAAATAAGGTACAAAACATGTCCCCCATTAAAATGTTGCAATTTGCCTTAAAAACCAATAAATTATTTTATTTAAAAATGCTTTAAAAGTTGGATTTGAAAGACTTGTGTATGTTTAGACCCTTAGTTTTGTATATATTTATATTATTTCATGGTAATTTTACAAAATACCGGCACTGTACTATGAAAGCCCATGCAAATGAACTTGTCCCCCGTAGAGGTCACAGTATCAAACCTAAAAAAAAGTGTTTTAAAATGCCCAAATCTGAATATGAGGTTAATTGGATGGCTTAATAAAATATCACAAAATACTTCAAGTGAATATTGCATTATTTTACACATTAACAACAGCCTTTCAAAATCTGTCATCAATTCATGTCAACTCCGTCAGATATTTTTCAAAATCAAAATAAATCAGGCATATTTTGGTCAGCTTTAACCCTGAGGACCTCCTTTGACTTCTTTCTGTTGATGGATGCAGCAGTCCAACACATGGTCTGGTAAGTTTTTTTTTTTTTTTTAAATATTCAGCAAACAAGTTGAAATCCCTGTGGTTACAGCTTTTATGTGTCAACACTGTCTTCAAAGTAGGCATTATTTTAATCAAGAATTTTTAAATAAAAGTTGGTATTTTGGTTTAGTTTAGTGGCAGCTGGCAACTGAGGAAAATTAAAATTTATACCATTTATTATATTATATTACATTATATTATATTACCATATATTAGACATGATTAAGTTGAAAAAACATGTTGTTTTGTGAACTCCGTCAGACGTCAACTCTGTCCGATATTTTGTCTGACGGTGTTGACATGTAAGCTGACGGAGTGGAAAAGTCTTCCCAAATTACAATTAGGTAATGTGTATAACAACTACATAACATGATAATATGATCAAAGTATACATGTTGATTGACTTAAAATATCTTAATATACCCAAATGCCAAATAATAACTTTAATAAAAAGTATTGTTTTTATCCGTACTGTTGGCAGACATGGCTAAAACTGTCCGTGGAGGAGCAAAGAAAAAGAAACTGAGTTCCAGATAAAAAGGAGAGAAAGAATTAACAGTAGGCGCGTTTCCATTACAGATTTAATGTCGATCTAAATGTCGACAAAAAACTATTGTGAAATAACGCAACTCTGTTAACGCGTTTCCATTAACCGGTGTTATGCGACTAAAACTTCATTTTTTCCTCTCGCGATAAGTCATTCCAAAAATCATGGCAGGTTTATGTATATCCCAGCCACTGGACTGGCCATCATTATTATGTGTATGTGTGTTATCCAATTATTAATGGCAAGGAAAGACCCTTACTGTGAGTAGCACATATGAGATGTTTCTGGGTGTTTCTACCCCATATCTGCTTCGAGGTCTTGATTGTGGCATTTCTTTGAGGTTTAGAATCCAGTATTCCTGTCTCGTATTCTGTCCAAACATACCGCGTCCTCTATGTCAGGTGACTGTAAATGTACAAAAACTGTTTCCATTGTAGTTTTGCTGTTTACTCATGCTTAACAAATGATTAATAGCATGCAGTTATTATAAAGTGTTACCTGGGAGGTTTTGTGAAATTGACATGTTTCCATTGGGCATTTTTTCAATTTGCGCAATTTGAAGGGTAATGGAAACGCGGCTACTGACCCAGAAAGCAGAAGAGATCAGTTAGAAAAGGAGAGATAGAGATGGAAGGGTAGAAGGAAAAAATTAAAACAAGTAGGAGAATTAGGACCAAGAGCAAAGAGGCACTGCAGAAAGTATTGGAGGAAAGCAAAGAAAAGGTCCAGAGCTATGCAGAATAGACGGCTAAATAAAATAGACACCCCACCAGAAAGTCCTCTGGACCAGACTGTTGAGGGCGAAGGGCTGGAGAAGGCAAGCAGATTACAGGGAGAAGAAGAGGGTCCAGGCAGAAGGGAGGTGTATTTAGCGGGAATACTCGTGACCCATGGTGGAGCCGATGGAGGGAGTGTTGAAGATTTTATTATTCAGAAAACAAGTAATTTAGCCTTAGAAGAATACACAATCATTTATTGTATGAGTCCTCTAAAAGGACTCTGTCTAGGTGACTTTGAAAGCTGCAAAACCTTCTGTAAAAAGACCCTGAATGTCAATTCTATTCTGAGAAGTCACATGGTACAAGACCTTCACCCAAAACTATCTATAAGTGTATGACCATCTTTGGAAAAGGATGTATGGATATATGTGAGAAGCTGGGCACTGATTGTCATGATTCTGCCATCTTGTCTTTGATTTCACTGGTCTTGTGGCAGGATCATGGCAGACCCATGTTTTATGTACAAGCGCATGGTCTGTTATTTGGACCATGTGCTTGTGTTGTCTCGTCTCGTTACCCCGCCCCCTTGTTATCCTCGTCTTGTGATTATTGTCTAGTCAGTTTCACCTGTCCTCGTCATTAGTGTTCCCTATTTAATCCTCTTGTATCTGCTGTCTTTTGTCGGTTCATTGTGATTGTTACCTGAGTGTTAATCCTTGTCAAACATTTGTCAGAGTCTGTGAGTATCTTGTCAAGAGTTTTAGTCCTGTTGCGCTTTTGCCTGTAAAGGTTATTTGTGTCCCTATAGTTATCTGTCTCAGTCTAGTTAGTCTCATAGTCCTGTCTTGTTTTGCCCCCTCGTGGGCTTTGTTTTCCCTGTTATTTGTTTAATAAATCGTGTTGCCTTGACTACTGTCTGCTATTGGGTTCATCCTTCCTCATCCTCATAACAGAATGAACCGACCAACAAGGAACCCAGCAGACAGTATGTCCTCTTTTGTTGAGCATAACCCGGATGACCTTGCACAATGTTGCAAGGGAGCCTGGTGGGAGCCTGGTGGAACTGGTGGAACTGGTGAACTGATGGGCCATGGCGGAGATGGAGGTAGGAGCCAAGGGTGAGCTAGTGGACTGATGGGCCAATGTGGAATCCTGGACTCTGAGGCTGGAGTCGGATCGCAGGCATCCACTGTCCAAGATGGTGCTGAGGACCGGAAGCCCCTCAGCAAGCCCACCATTCCACTGGCGTCTAGAGGGCGAGTGATGGGGCTGACAGGAGGCAGATGAGATGAGGATGGTGGCTGGATAATGAGAGGAGGCGGGAGAGGGAGGTTGGGTCGGAATTCAGGCTCAGGAACCGACTCAGGCGCAGTGGCGACCATTTCGGAGGACTATTTCTGATGCAAGTAATGGCAAGCTGCCAATTCCTCCCCAGGGAGACCGGTCCCTGAGGGAGTACGCCCAGGTTGCAAACGAGAGGAGGCTTTTCCTACCTGATATCCTCCTCAACCGCTACATTGCGGGTCTCAACGATCCTCCACCCCTGGCTGAACGGGAGAAGCTGGTCTGCTGCCCGTTTGGTGAGATGGTGGATTGTTTGTCACGGAGGGAGTCGCGGGGTTCCACCTTGTCGTCACCATCACCCAAGCTGTCAGTGATCCCGGAGGGTCGTGTTATAGGCGTCGCGACGCTTGGGGACCAGGCTGGCTCCCTCACGACTCCCGAGGTTTCATCCACACCCGCAAGTCTCCGTGGAAAACGAGGGAGACGGATTTCCTGGGAGTCCGCTTCGGAGTCTTCAGCGACGGAGTCTTCCCTGCCTGAGACAGCCCTCCCACTTCCAGTCATGGACCCTGCTGCGCTTCTCCTGCCAATCTCCAGTCCAGCTGTGACATCAGCTCCGCGTCCCAGAAGGAAGAGGAGGAGGAAGGGACCCTCTTGTCCTCCGTCTCTGTCTTCCCATGAGCCCGCTCCAGCAAGCGCCGTCCATGAGCCCGCTCCAGCAAGCGCCGTCCATGAGCCCGCTCCAGCAAGCGCCGTCCATGAGCCCGCTCCAGCAAGCGCCGTCCATGAGCCCGCTCCAGCAAGCGCCGTCCATGAGCCCGCTCCAGCAAGCGCCGTCCATGAGCCCGCTCCAGCAAGCGCCACCCTAGAGGCCGCCTCAGCAAGCGCTGTCCCAGAGCCCGCCTCAGCAAGCGCTGTCCCAGAGCCCGCCTCAGCAAGCGCTGTCCCAGAGCCCGCCTCAGCAAGCGCTGTCCCAGAGCCCGCTGAGAGAGTTGCGGCCGATCTAGCCGCTAAGGAGGTTCTGCGAGCAGTTTCAGCTCGTCAGGAGATGCCCGTCATCATTGCGGCCAAGACCCTTTCCGATTACCTGTCTCGTCTCGTCGCTATTCTTGAACCCCCTGTCTGTCCTGCCTTGTCCTCAGCTCCCAAGCCTGTCTCTGTGAGCGCTGCACCTGATCCTATCACTGTGAGCGCTGCACCCGAGCCTGCCACTGTTATTGCTGCACCCTGTCCTGCCCCTTTGCCTGCTATGTCTCACGTCAGGAGTCCCGGTTCCGCATCCTCTGTGTCCTCGTCAGAATCTGTTGCTGCTAATTCCCGGTCTGTTTCCCCGTTCGTCCCTGTCTCCACCAGCCCCCGGACTGTTTCCCCATCTGTCCCTGTTTCCACTAGCCCCCGGACTGTTTCCCCGTTTGTCCCTGTCTCCACTAGTCCCCGGACTGTTTCACCGTTCGTTCCTGTCTCCACTTGTCCCCGGTCTGTTTCCCCTGTCACCATTAAACCCCGGACTGTTTCTCCCAAGACCTCTACTCATGTGTCCCCGTCCAAGCCTGCCCGGAATTCTCGTCCTCAGCCCTCCTCCCGTGGACCCAAGACCCCCAGTCCTCCCATCCACCCTGGACCTCCCCCCATGAACTCTGTGTTTCCTCCACCTCCTTTGCCTTGTATGTTGTTTTTGATTTTTCACCCGAACGCTGTTATTTTTTATTCCTGTTTGCCATTGTTAGTGTTTTCCATGTTTTGTTGGTGTTTATCTATGTCACAGTCTGTCTAGTCTTGTGTTTAGTTTCCCCTTGAGGAGCGTCTGGAAGCCGCTCCTTAAGGTGGGGGTTCTGTCATGATTCTGCCATCTTGTCTTTGATTTCACTGGTCTTGTGGCAGGATCATGGCAGACCCATGTTTTATGTACAAGCGCATGGTCTGTTATTTGGACCATGTGCTTGTGTTGTCTCGTCTCGTTACCCCGCCCCCTTGTTATCCTCGTCTTGTGATTATTGTCTAGTCAGTTTCACTTGTCCTCGTCATTAGTGTTCCCTATTTAATCCTCTTGTATCTGCTGTCTTTTGTCGGTTCATTGTGATTGTTACCTGAGTGTTAATTCTTGTCAAACATTTGTCAGAGTCTGTGAGTATCTTGTCAAGAGTTTTAGTCCTGTTGCGCTTTTGCCTGTAAAGGTTATTTGTGTCCCTATAGTTATCTGTCTCAGTCTAGTTAGTCTCATAGTCCTGTCTTGTTTTGCCCCCCTCGTGGGCTTTGGGGGTGGGGTGGAGGGTTAGGGAACTGGGGAGGGAACTGGTGAACTGATGGGCCATGGCGGAGATGGAGGTAGGAGCCAAGGGTGAGCTAGTGGACTGATGGGCCAATGTGGAATCCTGGACTCTGAGGCTGGAGTCGGATCGCAGGCATCCACTGTCCAAGATGGTGCTGAGGACCGGAAGCCCCTCAGCAAGCCCACCATTCCACTGGCGTCTAGAGGGCGAGTGATGGGGCTGACAGGAGGCAGATGAGATGAGGATGGTGGCTGGATAATGAGAGGAGGCGGGAGAGGGAGGTTGGGTCGGAATTCAGGCTCAGGAACCGACTCAGGCGCAGTGGCGACCATCTCCGCTGAGGGCTCGGGCGGCAAGGCGGCGGCAATCTTTGCCGGTGACAGATTCTCAGGCGTGGCCGGAGACGAGGGCTCAGGTGTGGTGGCGACCATCTTGGCTGGATACGGATTCTCAGGCTTGGCACTGGCCATCTTGGCCGGAGACTAAGGCTCAGGTGTGGCATGAAGCTCAGGCTGGGCAGGCATGACTTGAAGAAGCTCAGGCTTGACAGGCATGATGTGAAAAAGCTCTGGAAGGGTGGAAGATAAGAGGTGTGGCAATGAAGATGGCAGCTGACGGTGATCCAGGTATTGTTCTAACGTACCCGGGATCGCTGCTGCTGGAGTTTGCTGGTGCAGATGATCGTCCAGTCCGTACCAGAAGACAGTCTTTAGGACGCCATCTGCCCAGTCCACATGGTAAGAAATTTCGAGGAACGTAATCTTGCTAAGGCACACCATTTCTACACACTTAAAGACTTTACAGTGTTGTTGAATTGATCAAACACACACACAAAAAAACATATTTTCATGTGTCAGACGGAGTTGACAAATGTCAAGTTACTAAGTGAGTAAATTTAAATTTCTATAAAAAGTAGTTAAATAAAAAACCTGTTCCTTTTCATGGTATGATAGATGAAACCCGTGCTTATGAAGATATCCAATTCAAATGAATGTAGTGTCGATTTTTTGTTTGTCACTTTTCAAAAGTACTTTTTTCCCTTGTCTCAAATATCAGTGAGCTACATGCATATAGAATGCATTACTTCTTAAGTATACAGAAGTTTAGGCCTATTTTAATTTAGACAAATACACAGTTATGATGTAGCAAATCATGCAAGTTCTATTCAATTGTTGAATAGAACTTCAGTGGAGCTTTCATATATATTTTATGTATCCTATTACACACACCATTGAATAATTTTCAGACAATTAATAAAATGGTTTCTGCTTTCAAAAATTATGTATTTCACTATTTGTTTAGATTATCATACTAACACTCGAAAAGTAAAGGCAATTTGAAAAGGAGCAAAAGCAACCGATGAAGGCATGTTAAAAATTAAATACTGTTTAAATGTGACATAATATCGCAACAAAAAACAAACAAACCAATACACCGGCTATAGAGGATAAATAGACTTATGAAATATTTTTTTGATAAGGGAAGTGTTATATACTTTATAGTTATTTCGGATCGAACCACACAGACACTTCCATCCATCCTTAGGCTTGTTTGAGATGAGCAAAATCTGCGCAGAACCGATTACCGGTGATCAGCGCGAGATGCATGCCGGTTAGAAATGTGTCCGAGTGCGGTCCGCCTTGCTCTGATGTCATGCTGACGTGAGTCAAAAAAGTCTCGCGACCGCAAGGCGCACGTGTCGGATTCTGCAGTCGCGCGCAGTTGCTCTCCACCGACTGCGCTGATCAAAAGCATGATGGGAAACGACTTGCTGACGGCACAGCTTAATGCTCATTGGTTTAAACAACCGTGATGTATTGTTCTCTTTTAAAATGTTTGATTTTAAAACTCTGATATCATGTTTTATGTGTATAGATTATGTGTGGATATCCCCAAACTCTCAGACAGTGCAATCTATTTGATGTAATTTTTTTTTTTTATTAAAAATAAAAACACATATCTGTAAAGAAAAAAAATGATTCATAAACATATAGGCCTATTTAAAATGGAATTAAATAAGTACTTTGAGTGTCTTGTTCATTATATTTATTTTCATATTCAAGCAACAAAACTTAAAATACATCCAGTTTATTAGCAACACCGTGCACGAGTGTGAATCCCGCGATATCCGCCTTTGATCTCACAGGTGTCAGATCCACTGCGAAAAGAGCGATCTGTCCGGCTTGCCTGCACTTTTTTCACTCCTCCTCTCACTGCAGCCGCCTACTCTCGACTACAATTCAGGCGAGGCAAGGCGCATCTCAAACAACCTATTATCTCCACTATGTACGTGATGACGTCGATTACGTCACATCAATACACAACAGGAAGGAGCGATGATTCAGTTTTTAAAAGATAAGCGATAAGCGTAGGCTATAGTAGTTGGCTACATACGATCTATTAGGACATACTGGTGATGTAGAAAGAGAATAACACATCTGTCATTGAAGTGCAACGGTAACAATACAGTCTCTCCTCCTCTTTGCTTGCAATGTAACGCAAGCTCATGCATGCCGCAAGATGGCAGTAACTAACCTTGTCAAATCAAAAGACAGAAAATGAGGAAGTGGGTTGCTTTTTTACAGTCTATGGTTGCTAAGGAAATCAAGCCTGAAGGCGCTGTAAACAGTGAACACACGCTTACTGGATTCATATTAATGCTCGTTTTACAATCTTACCAGCTTTGCTGATCAATGAATGATTGGGGTGATTGTATAAATCGTGGTACGCGTGCTAATTATAACTATTCTGCTTTGTTTATGGCGCTGTGAAACCGGGAAAGGAGCGTAGATAGTCAGGTCGCTATTTAGCTTACGTTAGCTGTTCGGCTAGTTTTAATTTACCCTAGTTACAAGATGGATAGAAATCTGTAGCAAGACTTAACTAAAAATGAAAACTTATTATATAAACCTGTTTTGGTGCACCTAAACAACCTGTTACGGTCTAAAAGTGTATTAATAGCCGAGATTAATATAGATAACAAAGCACAGTAAAAAAAAAATTAATAATCATTCTAATTCTATGAAAATATGAAAGTTCACTCTACAACTATAACAACTTTCAGATAACATAGCACAAATATGTAAACAGAAATAGTGAGTATATGTTGGAGAAAATAAAAATAATTAAACAGAAAATATATAAATCTAAAACCAAATATAATAGTGGAATAGGCTAATGCAGTGTATGAAATTGGTTATATGACAATTTGAACAGATGCATGTGATAACCAACATACTGTATAATGTAATTTCAGGACTCTTATGGCAGAATTGCATATAATTGGGCAGATCATTGGGGCCACGGGTTTCCCAGAGAACAGCCTCTTCTGCAAATGGGGTGTACACACAGGTGTCTTTTGTTTTATTGTTTACTATTTTATACTGTATTAAAAACTGAAGTAACGTTTTACACTAGCTGTACCAAAAAACACTGGTCTTATAGACCATTATTGTGGTTTCCTTACATTTTTTAAAGGTATAAAGATTGTCTTAATGCTTATTTGATGTGGCAAACTTTATATAAATTATAAATTACAAAAATGTTTTCACTGTGTGCCATTCAGGAGGAGCATGGAGGCTTCTTGCTGGTCTGAAGGAAGGTCAAACTCAAGTGGACATGCCTCAAACAGGGGACATGGCATACTGGAGCCATCCCATTGATTTGCACTACACTACTAAGGGCCTACAAGGTATTTGTATTAGAGGTCGACCTATAGTAGATTTTACCGATACCAATAACTTGGTTGGACTGCACTGGCCGATAACCGATTAATCAACTGATAGTTTTAAATGAAATTTAAAAATGATTTTTTTTTTCAAACAGTAAAGATTTACTGAATGAAAACTAAAATAGTGCTAAACTTTATTAACCAGAAAACCAAAACAAAAAAACAATACTGAACCATATACCATACTTTTTAAATGGAATAAAAGTATACATATTTATTATCCATTGATAATTAATGTTATTTCAATGTGCGTTAACTAATGTGTAACAGGTGCATGAATGTTTAGGCCTAACTGTTTAACAGACTTTAAAATTTGAAAATGTATTACTAAAAGTTGAAATTAACACTCTAACAAAGGCCATAGGATTGAAATTACACACATTTATGTATCCATAGTATTCCTGCGCCCCATGACGCTTTGCGCGAATTGTGGGTGTAACTTCCGTTAAGATGTAAACAATCAGTGAAAGACTAAGCTCTATGGACGCAATAATAGATTTTTAAACCTTTTACGATGACATTACATTATTCTACTCACCCTTCAACCATTGAACATTAAAAGGACATTTAAAAGTGTAAAAGCATCAATAAGGTAACTTTCAACAGACCATGAATAATCTCAAAAGCATCTTTCCACAGCTAAATCGGTCGGTTAAATATCACTGTGGTAATCTGTATTATGTAACATACGTTGCCTTAATAAAAAAGTGTTTTACTTCAGCATTACGTGATACTATTTTAAAGTGATTTCAGTCATTTTGACAGATAATAAATTGTATTTACCTGTGAAACCAAACCTGGAAAGAGACGTGAGGATTTGGAGAGGATTCCAGTGAATTATTAATGGTATACATCGTAAATTAAATCGGGAGAACAGACCACAAATGTGCAGTATGTGTTGACCTTTGTCATACTATTACAGCGGAATTCAAAAGGAAAAAAGAAAATAATCATGAGAAAAAGAATGCAGAGCTCTTACTATGGATATTCTTGTTATAACATGTCACGTTAAAATACCAAGTGTTACGTTATCCTCATGTTATTCTTAGATAAAACATGAAAGAAAACTGATTGCTCGTTAAGTCAAACTGACGGATCAGGTTTATTTTTAGGGCAACCTTATGATTTGAAATGATTCGTTTCAGTCTTTTTGAATGGAAGTTCCCCAAACCGGAAGTGCCGCCCATAATTCAAAACGCAGTAAGCTTGTCAGGAATAAGGTGGATACTCTCACACTTTATTTGCTTCTATTTTAGAACACTTGGCGATTATCTAATCAAAATGACAAAATATGGAGGTCGCACACCGGACGAGAAGCGTAGCGGCTAGGACAACTGACAGATATCGCACTCCGGATACGTCTCGTTCAATTCAAGCTGCGGTCCAAAACAGTTTAATTACCAAACAAACATGCAAAAATTAACTTCAAGAATGAACAAAGTGGCAAAGATGAGTTTGAAGTTCAGCGTTTCTGATTTGTTTATGTTTCTGTCGGCTCCATGAACATATCAATTAGCTTTTTCACGTCACTAGCATTAAATATGCAAATTCTCTGGCTAACGAATGCATAAAAGTGAACAGCTGGATATAAACTAAGGCAAATAGATGGTTACTATCATGACATCAAACATTTGGGTCGTCGTGTGTTTTTGTCACATTATTTTAACTACTTGATGTACTACTAATGTTAGCGTCCTCTGAAATCTCAATGGCAAACATACTGCTGTTCTCCACTAATGCAGCATCTAGTCAACAAATTAATTTCTTTATAATGATATGAAAGCATGTGCTGTAGTTTACTGTGTACGCCGTTTCATTGTCAATGTTTTAAATCCTTGAAGTGTCCTGCTCACGTCTGTCTCACGTGTCAAAACAAACAGCACGAGGTGTCAGTTATTCCACCTCTAGAGGCCGCTCTCGTACTGTATAATGGCAGCGCACCCTTCTCAGCCACTCTAACAATGGACGCAATTCAGAAAGACTATCGGATTTTTGCCTATAACTGATTGTTCCAGCAATCGGCTATCAGTGCCGATTATTCGACCATCGGTGCCGATTAATCAACCTTTAATTTGTATTATGTTTTAGTGCCACTTAAACATGATATATAGGATGTGTTTTCTACTTCTAGGATGGCCAAAGCTTCACCTCCAAGTGTGGCATCAGGACTCTTTTGGGCGATGCCAGCTGTATGGTTATGGTTATATCCACGTACCATCAAGCCCAGGACAGCATCGCCTGCAATGCGCTACATGGCGACCGCTGGGATCCTTGCAGGATCAACTTGCCGAGATGTTTGTCGGAGGAGGACCACAACTGCGCTCGCCAGATCTCATTTACAGTGGCGCAGACCGATATAGACTCCACACGGTTGGCATGGGCACAGTTGAACTAGAGCTGTGCGTTATTCTACGCCACTTTGACAGATATGGTGTGGAGAGCTGAGAATGGACTGTGGACTGACACACATTTCAGATCAGAGATATGAGGAGTGAATAGAAGGTAAAATATTTTGTTATATTGGACAGGAGTTTTTAACATAATGCTATGTGTGAATGTAAAGGTGAATAGTTAAGTATGTAATACAATGAGTTGAGTAAAATGGCAGGGATGGATTTACGTCTACAGATTGATAGTGTGTTTTTGTGGTTTGGATCTATAACAACACTTTTTTTATTACAATTTTCTACATTTTTTGTACACTTTGTATGTTTTATAGAATTGTATTTTGTTTTGATGCAATTCAATTTCTAGTTTGTTTGTTTTTTATCTTTATGTAACAGGCTTTTTGTAGCAGGATCTGTGTATTGTAGATAGTGAGATACAACTCTGTCACATTTTGCTCATTTCCTGTGTGGAGTTTCTAACTGTTTTTGTGAGACTAAAAAAGACAAAAGAGCAAGTTAGATCACAGCTAATTTTTGTGATACTGTATGTTTCATGTAATATTGAGGAAGTTTAAAACTTTACAACTCAAGGTTTTCAAAAACACAACTTTGTTCTCTGAATGGGCATGGAAACAATTAATAAAAAAAAAAATGGTTGACACCATCCTGTTTCGGAAATGGAAACATTGGCTGTTAGAAGTATTTTTAATGCACTGTTTCATGTCCTGCTTATACTGAAGGTCATCAGTTCCTCTCTAAAATCTGTTTCTTTATTTAGACAAAAAGAGAGCTGGGGGAGGGTTGTTTTTTTTACGTTGAGGAGTGTGCAGTTGTCATCATTTGGTGGCTCTGCTAATTCGCTGTTAAAATCTGTCTGCTTTCTTCGAAGAGTTCTCAAGTTTGAAAGTAGGATACCCTCTGTGGGAATTGCGTCTGCATTCTGTAAACACAAGCTGTGGAAGATATTTCAACAGATAAACTGCTGTGCTAGCATACTTTCTGTGTTGTGCGATTTAACTGTTCCCTTAACATACCCAGCTGACCTATTTAAAAGTCCACTCATTTGTTCTTACTCATTAAAAATGATTGGATACTTTGGAAAAATGTATTTAAAATCATGTATACTCACACATGAGATAAGCTATCGGTGGCCTAAAGGCCACGATAACTGCCATCAAAGTTTAGCACAACACTGGAATTTCCACATGAAAGAAGGTAAAGCCCCAGAGCACAGCTACCTTTTACGTAATTGTCATGGACCAATCGCAGTTCAGCGTGAAGTTTTCCAGAACGTTTGCACTGGCGAGCGCCTTTGTTTGGCCAAATTGTGTTAAAAATGACATAATATTTGTTATTCGATTTTGCAATGGAGAGGGTCGCCATGGGGGCCGCCATTTTGAGATCACCTGACCTAAGGTGACCATTTTGAGATCACCTGACCTAAGGTGACCATTTTGAGATCACCTTATCCTGGTTACCCCCATTAGTATAACACGTTTGTTCACGTAATAAATGGCTGACTGTGATTTGCTTTTTTGTGTGATGTCCAACCCGACTACTATATCCTGTTCTCACAAATAAAATAAATAAAAATAATAATCATTCTAATTCTATGAAAATATGAAAGCTCACTCTACAACTATAACAATGACACAGAGGAACTATATCGCTGGAATGGATTCACTTTCAGAATAATTATTTTCCCAGCTGTTGAATGATAAAAACAATGACCACCTATCAGAATCCCCGCGCAGCAGACGCAGCATGCAATTTTAAACAAAGTTTTAATGCATTGGTGTAGACGCTAAGATGGTTATTATTTTTATAGTTATCGTTCTTATCGTTGTAGAATACTGCTAGAATATAGCTGTCCACACCACAGCTATATCAATAATGACATAGAGGAATGATTTCATTGGAATCACCTTCAGAATTTTTTTTTCAGCAATTGGACTTTGAATCAGAATCCACCCTACTTTTAAAAGCTTGAGCATATAAATTGGCAGATGTCATAACTGCACTGCACACTTAATAAATATAAAGTTATCGTGCTTTGGTGCAGATGCTGATAGTTATTGTTATAGGTATTTTATAGTTCTCGCTCTTGGTGTGAACAGGCCTAAGAAGTAGGTTGTTAAGGATTCTTTCCTGAATTCTTGTTTAATTAAGGAAAGAATTCATAACATCTTGTTTCATTCTAAATGTTTAATTCTCTGTTGAGTGGATAGCAATAGCCAGCTGACTCCAGGCATGTGAATGCCATCATGAGTTGAACTAAACACTTTGCCTCACATATTGTCCACAGTGCGGGGTAAATCTTCAGGGGAAACTACTGTGCTGAAAAGGAAGTGTTGTGTCATTTGGTTAAACTGTGCTGCTTCCTTTTCCTCTTTTGTCATTCCTTGAGTTGAGAGCAAACTGTTCAGAACAAGAGGATGGCATGCGAAAATAACTGATATTACTTTGAAGCTCAAATACGTGTATTTGTTTTTTTCTGTTGAGCGGGACACAAGAAACCGTTGAGGTCATCGAGTGGAAACTATGTATTGTAAATTAAGCATGGTGGCTTGTGAGGACATCTATTGCGTACGTTCATTGGACCTCTGACTTCGTTGGTGAGTTTTTTTTTTTTTTTTTTCAGATCCATTGTGTGTTGTGCCAGCATCCACATCTCAGTAATGTTTGGTTTCTGATTCAGGCCGTTGGGTTTGAAGTGAAGAAGACAACACCAGCTCATGCTGTAGCAATGCTAAAGTGACGACAGCATTATATCTAGAAGTGCTCGAGACCCTTTAACCATCCTGTAACCATCCATTGCCACACTCAAAGACTGAAGATAAATTCCAGCAACACTGACCATGAGAGCGGAGAGCTTATTTCTAGTATTGCAATGCCTGTTGGGATTTGTGCACTATACCAAAGCATTGTCAACATGCAATCCTTTAGACCTGGAACTGATAAAGAGAAAGCGCATTGAAGCCATTAGAGGGCAAATACTGAGCAAGCTACGACTGCCTAAGGAACCAGAAGTAGATGAGGAAAAGGAGTTAGAAAACATCCCAGCAGAACTGATCTCAGTGTATAACAGCACTGTCGAGCTAAACCAGGAGCAGGCGGCAGATCCTGTACACCAGCCTATAGAAGATCCTAATGAGGAGGGATACTATGCTAAAGAGGTGCACAAGTTCACAATGAAACTGAGTGAGTGGGTCTGTCCTTTCTCTATTGTCTAGCCTGTTGATTATTGAATGATTATTACATTGCCTTTCTTAGTGTTAGAGCCTAAGATGCTATGTGCCTGCCAATTTCCTCAGAGAGCTGAGGGTGTGTGCAAATGATCTGACCACAAACAGGAAGGAAGGCTGCTAAGAGAATGCTAATGAAGTGACTCAGATCCTGGATTTAATGTTTCTTGGTAAACTACAGTATCACTCAGATCCAATCATCCCTTGATCTATTATTGTCTCTTAAATCCATATTTGGACTACCATATGACATCACTGGTTTGGGGATGTTTTAGTGTTGGCTGCAAAGACAATGCTAACAGTCACTCGTTTTGAGGTTTCCCATGCTTTTCACAAACATTATATATATTTATTTATTTGTGGTCAGTGATATGTTTATTTTATTTTTAGATTAAAACATAAAAGTATCACTCAGCTCCAAAATCCCTTGATCTATTATTCTATATATTGTATTTGTATGAGTTTATTCAGATGATTATGATTAATTTGAGTCATCATTGAAGTATTACCTTTTGATTGCATTTTGTAAACTGATTACTTTTATAAAGTACCAACATATCAGTTGTACAGGATGGCTATTGTATTGGTACATATGGAGCCCTGTTGTCATTCTCATAAAACGCATCCTTTGTTCTCTACTTTTCTTTTAGCACTCCATTCATACAATGTCTTGAAAAATATAAAACATACATGCTTATTTCTAGACATATTTCCAATCAGTTTTGCTGTCTGTCTAATCACCAGTGAAGGATAACCCAGAAAGGTTGATATGGTTCAACATCACAGACATAAAGCACAAATTGGGTTCGAACCCCATGCTCTCCCAGGCGGAGCTCCGTTTGCGCATCAAGGAGCCTAACATGCCTAATTCAGAGCAGAGGTTAGAGCTGTACCAGGACACTATGGATAAGGCTCGCTACCTGAATTCACGCTTCATTTCCAATCAAATGGCTGGCAAGTGGGTGTCGTTTGATGTGACGTCGACCTTAAAGGACTGGCTGCAGAACACGGGTGAGAATCAGTGCTCCCTGCCACAAGCTACAGTACACTTTGCTGTATTTTAGAGCTATAAATGCCATGTGTTTGGCAGAAACTATTATCTAACATCATAACATTAACATGGCATGAAAAGTAGCTCATTTAGCAAAACACATCAAAAGACCCTCTTGACTGTATCAATCTTGGCAGTCTACTACCCATACCCCCCCCCCCCCCCCCCCCCCAAACTAAAATAGCCTAGTCTAAAAAACGTTTTAAAAACAAATCTTTTTAATTTACTAAATTTAATAACTATAAGTAAGCTGTCTCACATTTTGCACACAAACTTGTTACCATGTGATTTGTGATACCCCCCCCCCCCCCCCCCACACCCCTTCACACAAACAAAATTGTGACTTTCCAATTGAATTAACTGCATATGAGTTAAGATATATGCAAACACTTGAATTTATTTGAATTAAGTTATTTAATAACTACAAAGTGGTGTTGGTAATGAACTAAAACTAAAATTTAAAAATAATTGGCAATTGAAATAAAGCTGAAATATAAAAATATAAATATTAGATGGAAAAACTTAATATTTACTTTATATAAAACAAATATTAGAAGTGTTGCCTTGGTAGATACAAATAAACAAAACAACTTAAATAAAAACAAATTAAAGCTAAATAGAAATATACTATATAAAACAAAAATGTATTAAAAATGACAAAAGCACATAACAAAATTACTGAAACTTAAACTAAAAATAAAATTAAAAAAATAAAATTAGAACTGATCATAAAAATAAAAGCTAATCCAAATTTTTAATATATATTCGATTAGTACATAAATAACCTGAAATTAACACTGCTACAAACCAAATTTGCAAACCTGTCACATTCTAAACCTGTGTTACCCTTTCTGGTGTAGTTCATTTTGCAGTTACATTTTTATTTGATAGATTTTTTCTATTTAAGTTTGATGTTGACATTGTTTATTTTTAAATTAGAAGTGTTTTTATTACATTAAATGAAATGTATGCATGACAAATGAAACTTTCTCTAAAATGTGATCCATAGAGGCGGAGCAAGGATTTCAGTTGAAGGTGGCCTGTAATTGTAAAACTGAGGATTTTCAATTCAAAATAGCAGGTTTGTGAGTTAAAATTCAAATCCTGTATGTCTTGAAGTTTAAAAGGACAAGCTAATATTGCTATTTGTGTATGCAGGTTTATCTTTATCACCAAGAGGTGACAAAGGCCCCTTAGCAGAACAAGAGCCAAAGCCCCACATTTTGGTAATGTCTCTTCCTGCTGACGGCCACAGCCTATCAAAATCTCGCCGAAAACGGCAAACTGATGCCGTTTGTACCGAGTGAGCCTTTTATGATTCAGCATGAAAGAAAAATGACATTCCTTTTATATATATATAATGTTTATGTATTATATCAAAAGCCTCACAGTGTGTCACCTTCATGCTTAATGCAGCAAGTCTGAGGGCTGCTGTGTGAGGAGCCTGTACATTGACTTCCGCAAAGACCTGGGCTGGAAGTGGATACATGAACCTTCTGGTTACAATGCCAACTATTGCACTGGCTCTTGCTCTTACGTCTGGACTTCAGAAAACAAGTACTCGCAGGTACCAACCAATCAGGACAAACAGATGTTTCATAACTGGACCGTTTAGAAGTGATGTGTCTGATATGGTCTGATTTTGTTTGCCTACAGGTTCTTGCACTGTATAGGCATCATAATCCTGGTGCATCTGCTCAACCCTGCTGCGTTCCTCAGGTTCTAGAGCCACTGACCATCCTTTACTATGTGGGGCGACTACATAAGGTCAGAATTGATTTTTATCACTTTCATCAGTGCTCAACTGAAATGTAATAATGCTCAATGTAACTTTTCTCAGGTAGAACAGCTGTCAAATATGATTGTGAAGACCTGCAAGTGTTGCTGAAAGTGTCGTTTCCGTTTGGTCCTGATCTTGAGGCCCAGTAATTTCTGAGGGGAACTATTTTATTCCTGTTCTTTTTTTTTCTTTCTTTTTTTTGTCAACTTGTCCTTTATGTTTTACTTGTCTCCACTATATATTGTAGTGTTGCTTGTTTTGTTTTTTACTGTACATTTATGTTTTGAATAACATTCTACATGCTGTATGTTGTCATAGAAGTGGACATATTCGTTGTTTGATATAAAGATGCCTGAACATGCCTAAAGATGCCTTGTGACTGAACATTTTCACCACAGTTCAGGAGTAGGTTTTAAATAGTTTTATTTCACATTAAAACACCTGTCTCTTTTTTTTTCAGAAACATCTGAATAAAAATGTTCAGATGAAAACTGTTGGACATGTGTTTACTGTACAGACCGAATAATGAATAAATGATATTTCTCTCAGCTCTGTTTTCAGAAGATTCTGTACTTCCAGGTCAACAATAAGCATTGCTTTAACTCGTTGTGCCTGGACTCCATTTATGCCTAGTTATGCTGTTGGTAGCGGAAAAAAAAAAACATCTTTGTTTTTAAATATGTGCTTGCAAATTATTTTTTCATTATTTTATAACTAATTTTTTTTTTTTTTTTAATTAATCCTTTTAAAACACTGCTTTAATATCATTAGCTCCAAAACTAAGCAATGTTGCTAAAATGTAGTAAAATTAAGTTTTTTTAGAGCCAGAGCTGTTTGTGTAACTTTATTGCTTTATAATTGTGATCACCCTTCAATGTTGTTTAATGTATGTTGAGCTGTTTTTCCCCGTCTCCATATTTGTTACAGGTGTTCAGGAAAGGCAATTTCCTGCCAGCTATTTTGTTGTGGCTTCAGAGCTGGCAATGCTTTTGTTGTTCGATTTTATAAAGGAAGTGAATTAAAAGTGGTATGTTTATATGCTGTATATAATACGCTGGTATGTTTGTACACAGCATTTTATTTAATGATCTTTACTAAAAATATAATAGAATAACAGTTAACTACAAGGAATTATCTTGTTTGTAAGGTGAAAAAATAATAAACTCTACAGTAGTGGCCAAAAGTGATGTGCGGAGGGAATTTTTGTTTTAATGACCATGCAAGTTTGATTAAATCATTAAAATATGAGAAAAATGTTTTATATTGTTTTTAAAAAAATTAAATATAAGAGCAGAACAAAACACTAAACTTGGTTAAGTTTTTTTTTCTGACAAAATTATTTGGCAAAAAAAAGGCAAACTACAGCTACAGGTTTTATTTAGAGGTTAGAATATATATATATATATATATATATATATATATATATACATTTATCCGTGATCTATCCATGGGTCTCATTGGCCTCAAAAGCTCACAAACATGCTCCTGATTACAGTAACAACGTAAATAATAATAGATAAAAAACAGAATTAATAAAAAAAAGCTAAATAGACTTTAAACATGGTAACAGTATACTTTAATTCAAATTAATACAAATATACAACCATGTGAATACCACAGAAGAGAGGCAATAAATGAGTCGATTTGTTAGGACTAGAATAAATTCTTTAGATTTGTGTCCTATGCTGCCATCTAGTGACACAGCTGGGGTGAAGATAAATTAGTGGTACTTGCACTTTTGACAAATGAATAGAAAATGAATACTCATATATTTTGGAAAAGCCATCTAAAGTGATTCGATTTTTGTTGATGAAAGGTATTTTGGCAATCTGAGTTTTCAGTATAATTATTCGACTGGCAAGGAAGTGTGTTGCAGGCTTTTCCAGCCCTCATATTAATTCATTTACTCAATGTAAATCTTTGGCGTCCTCTACTGGCTACACATCTACTAGACTTTCCCTACGATTCAGAACTGTTTTATAAGTGCTCGTCTAGCCTGCTATCCAGTTACAGGGTGTGACAAAGTAAATACATAAGGCAACATTTATCTATTTATTTAAAACCAAAAGTAGTGAATGGAATAAGACATTCTTGCTTTTGCTTGACATCAGTGTTGTAATATTGTGATCATGATCCAAACAAGATGGTTTCCTGTTTATTTAACTGAGGGTGGGAAGTTGATTACAGTGTTTTATCACTTTTAATCCGCTAACAAAGCTGGCAGAGATATAATTAATCCTCTCCAATGAAAACAGCTTTCTGTTGGCCAATGAGGTTAAGATATCGCCACATATGACCAGTTTATAAGTTGGATTGTTTTACGATGGCTTTGTTTTCTCAAAAGCAGAGTCTGAGCCAATAAAAGTTTGCATAATATCAGGGTTGTTCTACTTCATGTAATAGTGAGTGATAAGGCGGGTATGATTGTGTATGAATTGCAGGGCACAAAAGTCAATCTTGTATAATACAGTTAATATTTCTCTAAAGAATGCTTCAAGTACCCTAAAACCAGCACATGACGTCAGTGCATGTAACCTTTGCGCATGAAGAATGTGAATGCAGTCAAGCAGACAACCAATCATTTTAATTGTTACTTACAATTCAAGATCACAAGTTGACAAATATTTTGGCAAACTAAATATTCATTTAGCTTCATAAAATAGGAATGTATACAGAGATTTCAGTCTGTGCAGATAGTCAAATCTGTTCTGTGGAAAAATGATTTGAGGCCAAAATCTGTTTATCTTCTATTTATCTTAGTGAGATAAACAAAATGACCCAATAAACTGAAAAGATACTGAACATCTGATATGGAGAACTCATAAACCATACAATTCACTTTCAAGAAAACTGTGCCAACTACATGTCAGAGAATGTAATTTCATGTACAGTAGTAGTAGTAGTAACATTTTACAGTATGCCTCTCATAATGTCAACATGTCAGTATATTTTGGAAAAGTCAGATGTAATCATGACATTATTTTTTAGATGGAATGAACTGATGACGCCTGTTTTTTTCACTCTACCATTCCTGTACAGTCTTGTCCCACACTAGCTGTCCATGCGGCTCTTTGGCTCCTTCAGGCAGCATGACCAGATACACAGGAGTTTCTGCTCCTTCCTCTGGACTCTTGGTAGCATTTTGTCCAGCCATGTCAGTCCGCACCCATCCTGGACAGCAAGCATTCAGGAGGATACCATCACCTGGCCTCGTCTCGCTGAGAACTCGAGCCTGGATCTTTGATAGCACAGTCACACCAATCTAAAAAAGAGACAGAAAGCAAAAACAATTCCTTTTCTGGCAGATTTTTGTCTGGGCCTGTTTATTGTTAAAATACACAACCTAGCAAATCAGGCTTTTGGGTATGTTAGGGGCTGCATCCGAAAGCTTAGGCAGCTGAATTGTTGCCTTGCTGGCACTGCCCTATCAGCAAATGACTTTGCAGGCTGCGTTTGCACATGAAGGGACCACAAAAAAATGATTTCGGACAGAATTCTAAGGCAGCATAACGGTTTATTATCTACAACAAAATAAAGGGAGCTTTGGTTATAACTAAGTGAATATATATATATATATATATATATATATATATATATATATATATATATATATATATATATATATATATTACTACAATACTAATTTCTCACTAAATGCCAAAAAAGTTGGTCAAAAACATACATTTATACACAAACTGACCACCAACTGCAACTTTCAGATACTATTTTGATTTTTTAGCTCAACTGTCATGGAATGGAATGTGCAGGATTGTGGGATATCATAGGCAGCAAAGGAAATCAATCAGATGAAGGTATCTCATTAGACAGGATCATAACATGATCATTGGATTCGGACATGCCTTGTTACCTTTCTACCTCTGTATGCTGCCTAAGGAGGCAGCCTTTTTTTTCCGATTTCGGATGCAGCCAGGGACAAATAGGGATGTTTGTTACCTTGGTGGTACCATAGGCAGTGTTTGGCCAGCCCTGAGCCGTATGATCCCCTGTCTGTGCAGCATGAACAAACTCTCCCATCAGCAGGCACAACTCCTCCTCTGACAAATCTTTATTTCTGAATCTGTCCAAAGGTAAACATAAAACAAAAAATACTTGATTTGCTGTTTCCTTTACCTTATCACTTATTATAAAAATCGATTCACACACTTTGCCTGTAGTTCAGGATTGCACTGGTCAAGGGATTTCTTGCTAACAAAGCTGGACACATTGACCACGCGAGCATTGGGTCGAAGTATCGGCAGAAGAGCATGACACACCCACAGTGTTCCCCAGAAGTTGGTGCGCATGGTCACTTCAGCCTGTTCTCCAAATGGCTCTGTTGCTGAATCTAGATAAAAGAAGATAATTTCAAATGGATGTAAATGGATGCAGAATGTGTTTTTGCAACAACAAAAAACCAAACAAACAAAAAACGTCAGATGAAAAAAAAAGCAAGGGTCTAGAGATGCATTTTTTTTTTACATTTTGAAATGCACGTTTACATAAAAAATATATTAAAAAGCGGCACTGTGGAATGCAAAACACCTTAAAAAAACAACAACAACAACGATTTCTGTGTGAATGTGCCCTAAATTAACAGGATGGTGTGAGATTTTAGCAGAATGCTGTATGGACCGATCATAATATAATATAATATAATATAATATAATATAATATAATATAATATAATATAATATAATATAATATAATATAATCAGTGTCGGGTGTAATGCATTACTAATAAGGCTACTTACTTTTCCCTTAAAAGTAAAGTAAGGGATTACTCTTAAATTTTCTGTAATTTAATTACAGTTATTTCGATGTAATTTCAATAAATAGGCTATTGTTTAGAACAATTCTATATAAAACAATAGTGGATTTAACAGATAAATGTAATGTCTGATGTTTAAATGTATGTTTTAATGTAACCTTCTCCCTTTACACACTTTGGTCAGTTCAAGAAAAATGTATCCAATTTTATTTATGTTGAAAGAATTAAAAGAGCAGTTTCATGTCTATCCTTGTATTGGTCAGTATGGAATTGTGTTGATATGGGATTTAGAAAGTAATTAGTAATAAGTAATGCAATACTTTTTTAGAGAGAGTAGCCTAGTAGACCTATAATATAATATAATATAATATAATATAATATAATATAATATAATATAATATAATATAATATAATATAATATAATATAGAATGTTTTAATTGTTCTTTGACACTTTTTTTTTTTTGACAGAGCATTTAAGGCTTAAAGATTTACGCAGGTCTGCGTTGAAAAACAGAACATTCAAAACTAACTTTTGAAAGCAATTCCCGCGTTGTTGATAAGAACATCCAGGCCGCCGTACTTCTCCTCCAGGAACTTCTTGAGTTTTAGAGAGCTTCCTTGGTCACAAACATCAAGTTGATGGAAGTTTACGTTTTTGCACCCCTCCGCTTGCAGTCCAGCAATAGCCTCTTGTCCCAGTTTCTCATTCCGTGCAGTGAGGAGAATATCTCCTTTGAAACCTGCCTTGCACAGCCCTTTAACAATTGCCAGTCCGATGCCCTTATTTGCCCCTGTAACTACAGCCACTTGTTTGGACATTGTAGGTTTATATTGTCTGCCGTTAAGCGAAGAAAATAAGTCACGAAAATAAAGAATCTGCACTCTGGTGTTGAAATGCTAGTTTCTGAAATGTTCCGCACTTGCGGAAGTAGCTCCTCCTCTAAAACTGTCAAGAACAAAAAGAAAGTGCAAGTCATGCTTACTTTTGCTTTCATTGATAACATTGATTGATTGCTTTTTTATTGCCCACAGGTAACTTAAATGCATTATGTTATAAAAATATATTATATATGATATTGAATGTTATAAAATAGTAGGCTATAACGTGTTCAAATGCTGTTCTGTTACAAATAAGGATGCATTTAAAGTTAATGTTGTAGGCAACTTTATTCATTTTGTGTGATTTGGATGTTCAAGATGAATATGGAAAAATGTTCCACCACCTGAGGAGTTGTGGAGATGTGAGGGGAACCACCGAGGGGGGAGATATGCCTGGCTGGTTCAAGTTGTTCTTATAAGGTGCGGTGTGTAGCCTAGCTACAGCGTAGGCTGTGGCCAACAACAGCCTCTAATAAACACCTGGTAGCACACCTACATCACAGAGATGTCTATTTGATGTGTGTGTTTACATCTGGAAGACGTATTTTTTAGAGTACCCTCACAAAAAAAAAAAGTTTATTCAAGTGTGCTATTAGTATACTTCTTTTAAACTAAAATAAGAAAGTATACTTTCAGTCTACTTTTTATGTAGGGTGAATTGCCCTAATGTGGGACACTGCCTAATGTGGGACACCTAAGGTCTAGTGTTTGTAGGTCCCCCAAAAATACATGAATGACAGTGAAACTATGGGTTAGACAAAGCTGTGGTGTCATGTGATCAAAATCACATGACCTATCAAATGTCCAATCATATTTGAGGGTGGAGCAATCTTCAAACAGGAGACACCTTGTGTGAAAACCATCCGAAGGTTAATGACATAGAGTTTTAACAAATTTGATGTTAAGGAGTTAAATAGATTTTAAACAAAGCAATCCTGCTACTTTTAGCCTAATATGCTTATGAAATGTTTGTCCATCAAAAAATAGTGTAACTTTATGTGTATAAACTATATATTTTATATTTTTTATCAAATTTCCTAGTGTCCCACATTAGGAAATGTGGTTTCCAAATCCGGGACAGCATGATCAGCCTAATGTGGGACAGTACTTCAATGAGTCAAAAATGTGTGGTGGGGCATGGTTTAAACATTTTTTTTTTAAATGTAATAAAAATATTAATAATGTTTATATTAGACAAATCTTAACTAAAGAAAAAAATGTTTCACCTAAGGCATTGATGAAATGGAAACAGGATTTTCATGACTTTTTTCAGAATCTGTGGTCAGATATTAATAAATATGTAATTCCTAAAAAAATCAGTCAAAGAAACTCACTTTAAAATAATAAATAGATATTATCCATGTAATGATTTTATCAGTAAGTTTAAAGAAGGGGTTTCTCCATTATGCTGTTTTTGTAAAGAGGAAACAGAAACAATTGTACATTTATTTTTTAGTTGTAAATTATTTTGGTCCAAAGTTTCTCTGTTTATTTTTTAGGTGTTTTACAAATTCATCACTATAACTGATATAATGGTCTTGTTTATGGATTGTGATACTGGTTTACTGGAAATGGATAATACAACTAAAAAAAAAATTATTTTACATGTTTCATCCATTCATAACCAAGAAAATTACTAACTAAGATTTAAGAGAGAATCTAAAATAAAATAAGATTTTACTATTCTACATGTATCAATGTGATTTTTTGGTCTTTTATCATAGATTTTTCAGTGTCCCATATTGGGGGCACAACTGTCCCACATTAGGAAGCTGCAGATTATTTCAGACAACTTGCAATAAGATCACTAATATGTCTATAATATCTCTTATGAATGGGTTATCTGAATTTTCCCTTTTGATTTGATTAGGTCACATACTGGGTTTTTTAAAATGGTATTGGGTGTGGATTTAATGTTTTGGTTACACATCGCAATATGTCACAGAAGTCTGAAGTGCAAAAAATGTCCCAGATTAGGGCAATTCACCCTAGGCTTCTTCTCAGAAATATAGGCCTACTTTATATACTTCTCAGAAATATACTTCAAATTGCACTTAAGTATTATACTGACAGAAAAGTCTAAATATATTTGGCCTATACTTGTTGATGGAGATATAGGCCCAGGGCCGTCGCTAGTGGGGTGAAAGGTGGTGACAATTATAGGGGCCCCCGCTGCCCAGGGGGCCCCACAAAATCCAGCAGTTATACTATTTAGGCCCCTGTAGTATGAATAATTCTAATATTTATATTAGTTGTATGCCTGAGATTTAAATGAAAACCACAAAAACGTGCAATTTGGGTAAATATTTTTCCAAATATCTGCTTCTCTTACCTCCATAAAAATGGTTTAGTCCGACCTAAAGTATGTATTAATTATTCAGTCAGAGTCAGTGACAAACATCAGATGGACCCAATAAAATTGTAAGTCCCGCCCCAGCTCGTGAACAGATCCAATCAGAGTTGAGGCGGCAGCCTGAAGTTAACGATGAACTTGGTGGAAGAGCAGGAGACTAACTGACTGAAAAATGTCGGGGAAAAGAAAACAAATCAGGGAACCAGAAATGCCAGGAAAAGACGGAGAGAGAGGCAAGGAGAGTGGTTGTATCCCAGTCGATCAAGACGTTCTTAAAGACCGGTTATATATTGTTATTTCGCTGGGAATTAGAAAACTTCCGTCTACAGTCTGCCGTGTACAGGCATTTTTTATTATCGGTACGCGCCACAATCGACCGAATGATTACGTGGTCTAAATTCCTGTCTTTTTACAGTATTGTAACTAGAGTTTAAAAAAAAATTACACGAGTCACGATGCATTGCATTATGCATCTGACCTGCCGGCTGATGATATTTAAAACATCGAGAAAACACGAATACAACACACTGCACTTGGATGAATAAATGTATTCGCTTTATTTAATAATATTACCAGTTCCATATTATCTTTATTAAAAAATAAGACAATGAATGCTTTTATTTTTTTAATTAGACTGCATTCTTGTCAATTTTTTAAATGTTTACTTTTTGATTTATGAATTATAACAGACTGATGGGGAATTTTTTTTATTACTTTTTAAAAATTGGTTTTATTATTATTTAACAATTTCTTGCTTTTTTATTAGTTGTAATTTTTATATAAACATTTAACTTTTTAAATAAAGGTTTTACAACAACATCACCATCTTCTGTTATGTGGGCCTCCATGTTCATCTATTGTACGGTATATGATATTGGTGGAGGGTGGTGGGGGCCCACATCAATATTTTTTCAGGGGGCCCCGAATCCTCTAGCTACGGCCCTGTATAGGCCTACTTAAAAGTATAATTAAGTATTCTAAGTATTATTGGCTTGTAAACATACACACTGTCTTATACACTAACATGTTCAAGTTTATATAGTAAGCTTTTGAGGGTAAATAAAATAAGCATGGAACTGAACCTGATCTTGACTTGTACACGATAATACCTTACGAACAATACGTTTATTCAAGTGTTCTATTAGTAAACTTCTTTTCAACTAAAAAGAAAGCATACTTTCAGTCTACATTTTATATACTTCTCAAAAACATACTTAAAATTACACTTAAGTGTACTTGACTTATACTGAGAGAAAATTCCAAATATATTTGTCCTGTACTTGTACTCAATCTTTTGATCGAGATATACTTAAAAGTATAATTAAGTATTTAAAGTATACTTGGCTTGTACTTGTGTTAACTCTTTTGATCGAGTAGCCTATTAAATATACTTTTTTACATAGTTTTTCATATACAGTCTTATGAAACTTACATTGTTTGAAAATATTGATTAAAATATTGATAAAAAACAGATACGTTTCTAATTCTGCGTATCTGAATTTTTGTGTAGGCTAGTCCACTGGTAGTGTACAGGAATTTCTACTTTACTCTTTCCCCACCATTGACTGAATTTTCCAGCTATCCATGTTTTCACATACGGTAGGGGGCGCTATGATGACATCTTCTAGTACAGAATCTCCGGATTAAAAACACGAGAAGAAGCTGAAACAAGTGATAGAAGGTTGCTCACGCAAATGTAAAATAACGTGATCATCAAACATTAAACAGCGTGTAAATCAAAACTGCTTAATGTTAACAAATTAAATGAAGCGTAAACCATGAAGAGAAAACGGCTGTGAAGCTTTGGGGGTGTTGGACTCGATCTACTCCATCTGTGTTTTGATTATCGTTCTGAATCTGATCAAGGCGTAACCTTTGACAAAAATGAGATTTTCTTCAAATTTTTTGTTTAAAATGTTCCCTTTCTTTATTAAACTTACCAACATTCAAGTGTTGATAAAAAGCATGCATGAAGCTAATAAAATGTTTTTTTTTTTTTAATTAAAGTACAGTTAAAAGTATTTTTTCAAGTATAAAAAAATAACATGTCAACATAGTAGTATAGGCCTACCTACTGCAAGTGCAAATATATTATATGAATAGTAAACTATAAGTATAATGTTAAGTTCACTTAAAGAAAACTTTCAGTAAACTACTAGTTTAGTTTTATACTATAAGTTTTCTTTTAGTGTACTCTCAGTAAACTACTAGTTTAGTAGTTTTATACTATGAGTATACTTCAAAGTGTACTTTCATAAACTAAAAAATTTCTACAAGTATTAAAAAAGTAAACTACTAGTATACCCATAAGTTCAATTGCAGTACAAATGATAAACGTAGTTGTGCACTTAAAGTTTACTACTGTTACACTTATAGTACACTTAAACATATAATTTTATATACTAAAAGTGGGCCAATTTAGTCCCAAGCAGTATTAAAATAGTACACTTACAAGTTTACTACTAGTACCTATTGACATTAGTATACTTACTACATAATGTATACTTAAAAATATACTTGAACATTACTTAAGTATATAAAATGAACTTGAAGTATACTTCTTTTTCGTATGGATGACATATTTTGCAACGTGGGCCGCTATTTTATGAAGTTTTAACCCATATTTTGTTGAAATATATATTACGTAACTGTTTTAACCATTGGTCTCTGAGGGTTAAGGATTGTTGTGAACTTTTTCTTCTAAAGTGTAGGAACTCAGAAGTGAAGACCAGGAGACTTGGTTGTATCTTTTAAGCAGAGTTCTTTATTAAAGGGGTCATATAATGCCATTTTTGTACAAGCTAATATGATTCTTTAGGGTCTAAATTAAAAGTTTGTAATATACTTTAATTAAAAATTCTCATTAGTATTGTAAGAAAACACTTATTTTACCTGGTCAAAAACAGCTCTGTTTTCAGCACGCCGTTTCAGTGCATATGACTTTAAATGATAATGAGCTTTGCTCACTCCGCCTCTCTGTTCTGCGCATACACCGTTTGTAACACAATAACACAATAACCACGCGTTGTTCATTATAAACGTGGGATTATGAATTATATTGAGAACGTTGTACATAGAAAACATGCTGTAATGTACCCTGAGTGTAAACCGACGCATTCATCGTGAAGCGTGCAGCTGGCGATTTGCAAAGATTATATAAAGATTAATATAAAGATTAATAAAACGTTACACTCACTTTAGTTCTTCTGAAGGTTCAGCAGGAAGACGAATAGGTTCCGATCCTTTATTCAGGTGCAGCTTCTCAGCAAAACCAGCTTTACACTGATCCTCGTTTATAAAGCAGCCCACTGAGAAATGATTCGGCAAATATGAGAGCATTGACGTTGCTCATGGGGAATATTCCCTTCGAAAACAAACTCAGCCACTGCGTCTTCAGCGGTTCGGATTTAGGAACATTAAAATGACTGCTGTGTTCGTTATTGCACCCAAGAACAGAACACCACAATCGCTTAGACGCCATTCTGCTCATAGACAGTGCTCCAGCATATCAACAATGACCGCGCCGATCCGCGCAGACTATGATTGACAGGACGAGCGAGGGCGGGTCTGTGTTGAATCACAAGCTGTCAATCAACAATCGCGGGAGGGGCGTCCGTTTTATTGACGTCACAAAAACGAACGGCTCAATTTGAGGCAGGGGAAAACATATAAGGAGATTAAAACAAAAACACTGGATGGATTTTTATCATTATATGATGGTTGTGTACAGGCACTGCCAACACACATTTCAGTACAATCAACTTGTAAAAGTGCATGTACCATTATATGACCCCTTTAAGAAACACGAGCTGTTGGTAGCTGCAGTCCTCGTTCGTCAAGTCTGCTTCGTCCAAAAATCTTAGCCAAATCTAACTAAAATACAATACAGACTGTAGTTTATACATTTAGAGGGGGAGGAGTTACATCGAGGGGGAGACACTCTGAAACAAAACATGTAAATGAAGTATAGGCTACAGGTTTTGGAACCTGCTCAGCATGACTCTTCACACACTGAGACACGAGAACAGGAAAGGCAGGCCCTCCCGCACTGAGACAGGATCAATGTAACTTACAATAGAGAGACCAGGACTGGCAGAATCTCTTGCTCATTTATACCTCAAATGCTAAATTCAGTCTACTAGACTTTCTCAGTTTATATACTATTGTACTGGAACCTAAATTAAACATTTAATAAATTTGTAATACTTCAGCATGTAGATATAAATTGCTTTATGCCACTTTAATTGTGAGTTATTATTAAATAAGCATGTCACAGTATTTTGTGTCAAATGTGTTTATTTCTATTTTCTCATCTCTGGAAGATATGGAAGACAAAAAAACAGGATGATATGGGCGGTATATATCCGGTAAGACATCTCAAAGTGAAGCCATTGCCAATATTTTGATTTGAACTAATAGCTAACATCAGTGAACGTGTGAGTGACTGTGAATGATCAGTGAGTGTCTGTGAATGAATTAATACATACATGAATAAAGCCATGCGATTTATTTAGCTTTCCTACTAAAGTGACTTGCAGTACACTATGGGAACACCATTAGATAAGCTGGACTTTGTCCTAAAGCATTTGTCTTGTGATTTACGCACCGAAACGATGATTGAGCAAGTCTGTGATTGGATGACTTTCCCAGATCAACCTCATTTGAGATCCCATCTGACCTCAAACCTCTCTTTTCCTGTAAGGGTTTATAATCATGATTTTAGTTGCATTTTGGGGAATTCTAGGCAGTGTTGCCATCTGGGAGTGAAATCAAGGCTCGTGTGCAGCACTTAGAGGATCAGTTTCAGAGCACAGTATATGACAAATTCCACACTTTTTAGTGAACCAGTAGTCCATAATGTTTGTCTTGCAAAGTATATTCATTTTTTGTTCTCATTTCATAATATAGGTGCAAAGGGATGCTTAATGTCTTGGGTAAAAGCAAACAAATGTAATGTCACAAAACATTTAAAACTTGACAGGTTTTGTTTCAAGGCCCAAACTGTGTATCATGACCTGAAGGTGCACATTTTTAGAATTATACTGAAAAGCCTTGTATACTTAAAAAGTATAAATATCAATCAGGCAACAGAAGGCATGTATTGTGTACAACAGATTTTGATAATGTTGATAATTTAGAGACCTTAGAAATTAAAAATAAAAAAAGACCTTAGAAATCAAATATATTTCAGAAGGCTATGGTTAAATTTGAAAAATAATTATTTTGAAATTTGTGCACGAGATAAGACCTATATTGTGTTTTGCTCCATTTTTAATATGTTGTTGAAATATATCAACCCATACCCATGAACTTCCACATTTCTCAGTAAAAAGAGTAACAGAACATTTAAGTATTGGTTGTTTACTTAAATGGTGACAATCAGTGTGTTCATTACACTTTTTTGTCACATACACTAATTAACTGACTACTGCATTTCAGAGGGCAACACATCGTCTTGCATGTGACTCAAACATGATTCAGAATCAGATAATGCTCACAAATGTTGGGAATATCAGCTGTTTATTGACATGATGAATTTTTTGATAACATGCACATTTCTCATCTAGAAAATAACAAAGATCCTATTTTACAGCCAAAGGCAATAACTTATTCCTAGACCTAAAAGGTCTAAACATATTGTCTCTTAGAGCCTGAACACTCAGCCCATAAATGACTGGATTCACAATAGGAGGAAATATTAAGAAATAAAGTGACATAACTGTTTGTGTTTGAAAGGGAAGATAACTTGTGTCAAAGCGACTTTGTACAATTTCACAAAAACAGCCCACACTATAGTTCAATATTGCAAATAAGTGTGGCATGCAGGTCTTCAGTGCTTTTATTTTAGACTTTTTAGTGGCAGTAAAGCATATTTTCAGAATATGTCCATATGAGTAGAGGGTCATTGCAAGCTGAGGAAAAGTATATACAACAACAGAAAACAATCCAATAGCACTCACAACATTTGTGTCATCACAGGACAGTTTGACAAGAGAATAGTTGGAACAGTACACTCGCTCAATTATGTTTCTACAGATTGTCAAGCGCAGAGTCATAATGAAAAACAAAGCGAATGCCACTAAAGGATAACCCCATGAGAAAGCAATTAGTTCATACACCTTTGTGATTGTCATGATACTGTGATTCTGTAGCGGATAGCATATGGCCACATAGCGATCATAGCACATCACTGAAAGAATGGTGAATTCTATGATAGCATATGTGTGCAGGAAATAGGTTTGAGCCTGACAACATGCCAAAGATACCTCATGAGAAGGAGACATTAAAGTACCCATCAAGGCCGGAAGCAAAGCCGTACCACCATAGATGCCATTTACAGCCAAGTTACATAGAAAAACGTACATAGGTTTGTGAAGCGCTCTGTCAGTAATTATGATAAAAATCACAGTGGTGTTAGCAAAGAGTACAAACATGTACAACATAAAAAAGACCATGAAGTAAAGGTATTTAAGATCGTCCATTTTGTAAAGGAGCTCCAGTATGACTGAAGACATAATCGATGAGTTTTTCATCTTCTTTAAATTGTTCAGCACACTGTAGTAAAAAAAGAAAAAGGTAGGCTACATTACATTCTTGCCAAGTAGTTGCGTTGTATAGGCTAAAGGAAACAAGTTATAAGCAGTTGGACATGCTCTCCTTATATAGGGCTGCTGTAAATATCAGAGACAGAAAAAAATATTCATAATTCATTTCAAAACAAATATCACAAATGTTTTTCAGGTCAGCTGGATAATAGGTGGATGATGAGCCATGGCACATAAAGGAATAACTCTCGTCCTCTCCTTTTCTGTTTATATTTAGGCTATGTGTAACCGGAAACTTGTCCAGTGTATTCAGATCACGTGGTCTTTTCATTGTGATTATGTAAATAGCCTAATCTCTTATGGATGTTTGAATTAATACTAAGCATACAAGTCAATGGTAAAAATATTATGTGTTTATACAGATTAGAGTCTGTTGGTATAACTGCTAAACCATGGCATTAAAATACAAATATAGCCTACTTGACGATCTAATTAGGGAAAGCGCCATAGACAAAACAACAGTATAAATATGTTGGAATAATAAATAAACATTACATAATTAAAACCTTGTATAAAATGTTACATTAGAAAGTTGGGTAACGCTTTAGATTACAGCCCGGAAAGTACTGTGTAATTAAGAGGAATTTACAGTGTAACTTTCTGTAATTATAGTGTACCTATAAAGTACTTACATGTAAGTATAAGGGAAAAATATGTAAAGTTTGGGGAATAAAGGGGTAACAACCAGGAGAATTAAAAAAATATATTTATACTGTAAGTATTATAAGGGGTACTTATTCTACTATTATAATACAACAATCTTACATTTGGGAGCAATTTAGCAAGAACATACACTGCGTACCTTTTTGTAATAATTGTGTACCAATACATACTGTATAGGCTTTTTAAAAGTGATATACATATCTATTTTTTTTATTTTTTTTGATAGTGCAGATGTTTATGTTTGGGCTAACATGTTTCAAGGCAAGAAAAGCTAAGACTATTGCAATTTTTTTTTAAATATGGGAAATATATCTGGTTTCATGTGGTTACAGGGTAAGTGGTGCTTGTATAATAAATAAAGGTTTCCGAGTCAGTGATATAAGATTGTGCGTATGCATTTTAATTGTACTTACCCTGTAACTACATGGAACAAGAGGGTAACAAGAACCACTTTAATTTACAGCCCGCAATGTCACACTTACCCTGTAACTACATGAAACAAGAGGGTAACAAGCACCACTACATGAAACAAGAGTATCTTTCCCCAATATTTAAGCAAAAGTTGCAATAGTTTTTGTTTTCAGTGCACTTTTGTTAAAAAGATTACTTTATAAATGCATAGATATGTACCCTGTGATTTTTAAAAAGCCCATACAGTATGTACTGGTTCACCATTATTTCAAAAAGGTACGCAGTATGTTCTTTCTAAATTGCTCCCAAATGTAAGATTGTTGTATCATAATAGTAGAATAAGCACCCCTTAGTTCTATAATACTTACAGTATTGTTGTATCATAATAGTAGAATAAGCACCCCTTAGTTCTATAATACTTACAGTATTGTTGTATCATAATAGTAGAATAAGCACCCCTTAGTTCTATAATACTTACAGTATAAATAATTTTTTAATTCTCCTGGTTGTTACCCCTTTATTCCCCAAACTTAAAATATTGTTCCCTTATACTTATATTGTAAGTACATTATAGGTACACAATAATTACCGAAGGTTACGCTGTAAAATCGCTTTAATTACGCAGTACTTTCCGGGCTGTAATCTAAAGCGTTACCGAAAGTTGTTTCCGTCCAGGTTGCCGTTACTACAAATAAGCTATAGAGACTTGTTACATGCGACCTGTAGGCCTATCAATGAAAATATAAGGGCAGGCTCTGTTTTATGTTCTCAGTGTTGTTTGCTATAGACCTTATGCGCCAGAGAAAAGCATGCAGACATCTTTAGAATTTTGTGTTTGAAATTACATATTGAACTGTATATTGCTGTCTGCCTGCTGCTGAGTGGTTTGCGTCTGTTAGCTCCGTATTGCTTTCTGTTTTGAATCTTTATTTACTATCATTCTGTGTTCTTTATATTGCTAATTATCTCTTACTCATCACCACACATTACATTAATCTGACATCGCTAGCTTCTATCTAAATCGTTATAACTAGCACAACACGCTAGTAATTTCGCTAGCCTGCACAACACGCTAGTAATTTCGCTAGCCTGCACAACACGCTAGTAACTCGCTAGCCTTCCGTGCCTGTCGTCTTTATTTATTTATTTATTTTTTTCTCGCGCACTCGGACCATCCGTGCCTGCCGTCTTTATTTTTTATTTTTTTCTCACGCCTTTTACGAATCCATCAAATAACTGTGGTAAGTATAGGATCAGTCAACAAACACGTTGTCTTTTTCTGTTATTGTCACTTGCACTTCATGTCACATGTATAATATAGCCTTCTCTGTCAGCAATATAGGATTTACATGTGATAAATGCAGGGAGACAGTCAGGCTGACGGAGAAGATTTCAGAACTAGAGACACGCATCCAAACTTTAATTGAGGTTAATTGTAAGTGTAACGTGGCGTCAGGAATGACACGAAGAGTGAATCCAATTGCAGCACTTTAATAACACAGACAGGTAATCCAGGGAAAACAGGGAAACTCAGAACAGAGAGACAGCTACAGGAAACAATGACCGACAAAACACAACTGAAACACAGAGGTATAAATACACAGACAAACAAGCTAAACAAGATAACAAGGGGGCGTGGCTAATCAGAAACACCTGGGGAGACTAATCAACATAATGGGGAACTGCTAACATGGGACAAGACAGGGGAACACAGACGTGAATCATGAGAGTAAGAGTGCAAAGGCTTTAGATACTGCTTTGGATGCGACTAGCTTGGTGAACTCTGTACATTGATTGGTTCTGGCTGTAGAGCCCGGGCAGCAGGGCAACTGGGTGACCGTGAGACGCTGAAGTCGCGGGACAAAACAACGCTCTTCCATTCCGATTACAACATTAAACCGGTTCTCCCCACTCAGTGAAACACCCACTGAGAATCCTGTTGAATGTGCCCTAGTTATTGGCGATTCTATTACACGGAACGTGAAAATAGAGAAACCAGCCACCATAGTGACATGTTTGCCGGGAGCCAGAGCGCCTGACATCCAAAGCAAATTTAAAAGTGCCGGCTAATGCTAATCGTAAATTCTCGAAGATTATTATTCACGTCGGCACTAATGATGTTCGACTTCGCCAGTTGGAGATAACTAAAATTAACATTAAATAGGTGTGTGAACTTGCAAGTACGATGTCAGGCACTGTAATTTGCTATGGCCACCTTCCTGTTCGAAGGAGTGATGAGATCAGGGCCGTGTTAAGACAGTGTGGTGCCCCTGGGCACTATACTCAAAAGGCCCCCTATATTCAAATGTGTCAATTAAAAATGTACATAAATTAATTGACAGCGTCAATTCACGTTTGCCCAAAAATAATAATAAATCTATCAGGTTTCTTACCTCTACAGGCATGAAAAGGGGTCAGGGGTGAAAAAGGTGAGAAGGATATTATCCCTCTAGGGGGGTCCGGGGGCATGCCCCCCCGGAAGAATTTTTTTAAATATTCCATATTTTATAGCATCAATCTGATGCATTTTGAGATGCATTTTTTTTGCCAACCTGGGGAGAGTTGGAGAAACTTAACTTCAGCCATGAGTCAAAAATATTATGGCCTCCGTAGCGTTAGCTAATAATTTCCCACCAGAGCTTTAGCTAGCTGGCTAATGTTGCGTTCTCTCCTGCTGTGTTCAACTCAATTCATCAAGCTGTAACTAACGTTAGCAAAGCCTATGTCAACAGAGCTCCTGGGTAACTTAAATATAGCCTACCAGAAAATATTAGGGATGTCCCGATACCATTTCTTCTGAACCGATCCAATCCGATACCAAAAATTCTGAGTATTGAATTATACCGATCCGATACCAGCGCAGTTAAAAAAAAAAAAAAATCAAGTAGAATTTCTATAACTCTGTGTGTTGAACTGATAATCACTATTTTCTGTTAAACACAATCTACTTAATACAGACAACTTCATTATAAAGAAAAACAACAAATAAAAAAAAATATGATAGGTAATAACCTATGACAAAAATTCTATTATATAAACTAGATTAGTGGGTAACTCAGCAGTAAAATTTAGTCTAGAAAAATCACAAGTGCACAATAATTGTATAAAATCGAACATTTAGTGGAAAAAAAACATTTTTTAGTGAGGAACAAATAAGAGACAATAAGTGTAGCACTAAATCTGGTAAAACGTTTTCATGTATTAAGTTTAGCAGAACTGCTCCTTCCTTGATTTTGCGCAAGCAAAGGTGTCAACTACATCCCCAAAGTCCATTTCTTTGTTACCGTCTCCACAGTTAGCTCCGGCTTCGTCAGACTCAGCGCTGCTAGTGATCGCAATTCCCGTGATGTTCTCACAAAAAATCTTTCGATACCTGGAACATTGTGAATTGTAGCTACGTCTAGCGTCCTTATCTTTCTTTAACTTTCTTTTTGCAAAACCACTCAATTGACGTCTGTCCAGTTTTGATTTTAATTCATTTTTTTGTAGCCGTTAAAAAAATGACACATTTGCACGTATTTGTTGTGGACCAACGCAACTCTGACAGATTGGGGAGGAGGGAGTGATAGTGGTCATGTAATCTTTATTTATTTATAATTTATTATTAAATCATTATTGTTATTATTATTGTTAAATTTCAAGTTAATAATATAACAATTTACGAAAAATATTTTTAAAGCTTGACTCATGTGGTGCCCCCCTAGTGGTTGTGAATGGTTGGTGCCCCTGGGCACTGGCCCAAGTGCCCTTATGGATAATCCGGCTCTGGATGAGATAGTTAGTAGACTGTGCTCACTCAATGGCTGACTGTCTAAGTGCTGTCCGCAAAATAATATAGAATTCATAGACAATTGTTTTGGGGCA